AGGGATAAATTGCAAGTAGCCCACGAAGGTACTTCTCAGGTAAAAATATCCAGAATCAATCGTCTCAAACAGGATTTTGAGTCATTTGTGATGAAGCCTGAAGAATCCATCAAGGAAATGCACGATAGGTTTACTACTATAGTAAATAGCTTAAGGAATTTACAAGTGGAATACAACAATGCAGATTTGGTACGAAAAGTGCTTTGGGCGTTGCCAAAGAGGTGGTCACCCAAGGTTACTGCAATTGAAGAATCAAAGGATCTGACGAAGCTGAACTTGGATGAACTTATGGGTTCTCTGGTGACTCATGAAGACAAGCTAAAGCGAGAAGAAAATGAAGAACCTAAAAAGGATAAAAGAAGAATAGCCTTCAAGACATCAACACCAGAAGAAGATTTCGAATGTCTGGAGGATATGGAAGATAAGGAGCTGGCTATGCTGAGCAAACATGTAGCCAAGCTACTTCGAATGAGGAAGGAGAAGAAGAAAGGTGGCTTCAATAGTCAAACAAGGGAAGGAGATTCAGAAAAGGAACAAATGAGGCAGATCAGAACCGGTTCGCGATTTAGGAAGGAGGCCAACAGTAATGAAAAAGCTGGCTCACCAAGTGGATGCTTTAAGTGTGGAAGAAGTGGTCACATTAAAGCTGACTGTCCACAACTGAAGCGTGAAAAAGCGTATACAACAACCTGGAGCTGGAGCGAGGATGAAGAAGAAGAGAGAGATGGAAATACAAAATATGAAGCATACATGGCCATTGGTGAGAGTGAGGATGAGTCTGACATATCTCAGGTCTGCTTCCAAGTGAGCATGGAAGACAGTGAATGGATCCAGGACAGTGGATGCTCACACCACATGACTGGAAATGAAAAATTGTTTTCAAAATTGATTAAGGCTAAGAAAGGTCGGAGACAATTTCAGTACTGATGTCTTAGGAAAAAGAGAAATAGGAAATGGTCTTGTGATTAAAAATGTGATGTGGGTAGATGAGTTAAATCACAATCTATTTTCAATAAGTCAGATGTGTGGTGAAACAAACAAAGTCATTTTTGAACCTAACAAATGCTACGTTGAAAATATTAAAACCAAGAAAATTGTGTTCACTGGTAAAAAAAAGGGAAACTGTTCTGTATATATCTAAATGATAAGAGTGATTTTAATGAAATGTTTCTGATGCCTATGGAAAAAAAATGATCAACTAGAATGACATAGGAAGCTAGGTCACATTAGTGTAGGATCTCTAGCAAAACTAGTTAGTCTGAACATTGTCACTGGAATACCTAGAATAAATAGCCAAAAGGAGTTCTTTTGTGAAGCTTGTACAAAGGGAAAACAAGTCAAATCTTCCTTTAAAAGTAAGAATGTTATTTCAACAACTAGACCGTTAGAATTACTTCATTTAGATCTGTTTGGTCCATGCAATGTGATGAGTTTTGGTGGGAAATACTATGCTTGTGTGGTAGTAAACGATTTTTCAAGATTTACTTGGGTAATGTTTCTCTCAAATAAAGGAGAGAGATTCCTTAAGTTTAGAAACTTAGTTAAACTTTTAGAAAATGAAAAGGAAACTAAAATTGTAAACATTAGGAGTGATCACGGAGGTGAATTCATATCTGATGAGTTTCACAAGTTTTGTGAGGAGTCTGGTATATATCATAATTTTTCTGCTCCTAGGACACCTCAGCAAAATGGAGTTGTGGAAAGAAAAAAACCGAACTTTAATAGACATTGCAAGGACAATGATTAATGATTATGGAGTGCCAAAACAATTTTGGGCAGAAGCCATAAACACAGCATGCTATATTATAAATAGAGCCTTAATCCGATCTAAACTAAATAAAACACCCTATGAGCTATGGAAGGATAGAAAGCCAAACTTAGGTTACTTTCATCCCTTTGGGTGTAGGTGTTTTGTTTTGAATACTAAAGATAATCTAGGGAAGTTTGATTCTAATTCTGACGAGGCAATATTTCTGGGATACTCTGCACATAGTAAAGCATACAGGATGTATAATAAGAGGACCCTTAAAGTAGAGGAGTCCATTAATGTGGTTTTTGACGATTCTCCTAGAAAGTGTGTAGCACAGATCGAAGAGGAAGATGATCTTGGATTAGGAAGGTCATATCAAGAAACCAGATCTGAGCAAAACATGTTGGAAAAGGAAAATACATAAGAGGCAGAACCAGTGGAACAAAGTGACAAGGTTGGGACGAAGGAAGCACCACCACATATACAGAAACGACACCCATCTTCTCAAATCATTGGGAATATGGGACAAGGTATGGTTACTCGATCCCAAATGCATCCTGTACATACTGCGTTTGTGTCTTTAGTAGAACCTAGAAATATTCGTGAAGCCTTGAATGATGAATTCTGGACTGCATCTATGCAAGATGAAATAGGATACTTTGAAAGGTTGAATGTTTGGGAATTAGTCCCAAAACCAGAGGATAAACCCATTATAGGAACCAAGTGGGTTTACAAAAATAAAACTGATGAAGTTGGAGATATAACTAGGAACAAATCTAGACTGGTTGCACAAGGGTATGATCAGGAGGAAGGAATTGATTTTGATGAATCTTTTGCGCTTGTAGCTAGGTTAGAGGCTATCAGACTGTTATGTGCATATGCAGCTTCAAAAGGTTTTAAACTGTATCAAATGGATGTCAAAAGCGCATTTCTGAATGGGGATTTAAAAGAAGAAGTTTATGAGGCCCAACCCCCTGGGTTTGAAAACCACAAGTTCCCTAATCATGTGTATAGGTTAAACAAAGCTTTATATGGACTAAAACAAGCCCCCGGAGCCTGGTATGAAAAACTAAGTAATTTCTTAATCATTGATGGGTTTCATAGAGGATACGTAGATAAAACTTTGTTTATAAAAGATGTAGATGGTCACACTTTACTTGTTGAAGTATACATAGATGACATAATCTTTGGTTCATCAAGTCAAAATCTGTGCAAAGACTTTGAGTCTGCAATGAAATGCGCATTTGAAATGAGTCTCATGGGTGAATTAACGTATTTTTTAGGTTTACAGGTTCAGCAAACAAAACTGGGTACCTTTATTACACAATCTAAATACCTTGTTCACATGCTGGAAAGATTTGATTTAAAAAACTTAAAATTGGCCATTACACCTATGGGATCCTCTATAAAGCTGTCAATGGATGAAACAGGTGAACCTGTAGATGAGAAGCAGTATAGAGGGATGATTGGGTCTCTGCTTTACTTAACCGCGAGTCGCCCAAATATCATGTTTAGTGTGTGTGTGTGTGTGTTAGGTTTCAAAGTAGTCCAAAAGTTAGTCACTTGTCAGCAGTAAAACGAATCTTTCGATATTTATCTGCAACTCAGCATCTTGGTTTGTGGTACTCGTGCAAATCGAGACTTGATTTGATAAGTTATAGTGATTCCGATTATGCTGGGTGTGCAATTGATAGGAAGAGTACATCTGGAACGTGTCATTTTCTAGACACGTCACTGATTTCATGGGCCAGTAAGAAACAAAAATTCAGTTTCTTTATCAACTGTAGAAGCAGAATACATAGCTGCAAGACTAAGTTGTACTCAGTTAATGTGGCTTAAGTATCAACTTCAGGATTACAGATTAGAAGTAGGGTTATTTCCTGTGTTGTGTGACAACACAAGTGCTATTAATATGACAAAGAACCCTATTCAACATTCTCGTACAAAACATATTGAAGTGCGCTATCACTTCATTCGTGATCTTGTGCAAGAAGGGAAAGTACATTTAGAATTTATTAGTACAGATATGCAATGGGCAGATATCTTTACTAAACCTTTAGGTGCAGATAAATTCATACCTATTCGAAATGAACTTGGCATGTTTTCTCAGCAAGAAATTGATTCGCTAAAGAATCTTTAATTCTCAAAATATCTTCTTGCCATGATTAACAACATCCCCTTTTTCGGTCTACCACTACAAAAAGACAGACAGTTGTGACGAAAACCTACCGACGACACAGTTTTTTCATGAGAAATAAGTATTATTTTCAACGAAATGGACATTTTGTTGGAAGAAAAATTATTATTTATGACAATAAATTTTTTGCGTCATAAATTATTAGAAAACCCGTTGGAAATAATAATTTAGGAAAATTTGAGGAATCGTGAGTACCTATTTGTGACCAAGCCTGCTATAGCGTTGAAAATAATTATTATTACTGACAAATGGCGTCATTAATATATGCTTTTTTCGACCCCCCAAAAAAGGTCGTGGGAATACTCGAGTTTTTTTTATGAACCATCTCCATTTTCAGAAATGTTCCATTGGAAATTATATTATTTATGAGGAATATCTTGCTCCATCAGAAAAACTCTACATTTTTCGACTATCAATTACTGGTCGTCGAAAAATTTTGGTTGTAATAAATGTACGTGGCAATGCATCACCGAAATCGTCATAATTACCATAGTATTTTTCACGAAGTATATATTCGTGGGAGATAATGTTATCATATATAAGTTCTTATGAACAAAACATTGGTCGTCAGAAATAACATGTTAAGATTACAAATGTTTTAGTAAGCGGTGATAATTTTCGACGAAAAACATAATTCGGTTGGAAATAATGTATAATGTACAAATTTTTTGCATGTTTGGAGGAATGAACCATTAACCATGAGTTTACAGTGATGGTGTGTTAGTTTACAGTGATGAGTACACACCAATTGCACTATGTTGTTCTGTGTCAACTTTCATGTTTGTGTTACTAGTTACTAATTTACTAATGTATCAGAAATAGTATATTGTTGAGTAATGGAAAACTAAAAAAACTTACATCAAGGTGGATTGAACTAGACACCTTAAATTTACAACATTGATTTCACACAAATTAGACTAACTTATTTTTTGTAAACTTTAATTCTACCATTACTATTTAGTAACGTTTAAAAATGGATATCATATTTTTCAATCTTATTATAGCCATACTGTACTGATCGGTTCATTCGGCTAACCCAAAGCGTCGGCTTTCGCACTTTTTTCCGTTTTATTCTTATTATTAGAAAAACTTTCTCTCTTATCAAGAATTGAACTTGTGCCTCGAAATGAAAGACAACATACTTCACCGATGCCACCTATAACCAAAAATATTGTTGACTTTATCACGTGCGACTTTTTTTTTAACTTCATTGATCCATAACTCTATTGACTCAAAATCCAAATCAAATACCATTTGTACAATAAATATAGTATAGGTACAAAACAATTTTGAACTTGTACCATAAGGTATATGTTCAAGTTCAATTAGACCATTAAGGTACATGTACAAGTTCAATTGAAATTTTACCATAAGGTACATGTACAAGTTCAATTTGACCATTAACGTATAATGCAAGTCCGATTTCACCATTAGCGTACATGGAAAAGCTCAATGTGACCACTAAGGTATATGAACAAGTTCAACTGAACTTTTACCATAAGGTATACGTATAAGTTCAACTCAATTTGTACAAAAAGGTATAGGTAAATTTAGTTGAACTTGTACCATAAGGTATGTGTACAAGTTCAATTTGACCATTAAAGTATACGTACAAACTCAATTGAACTTTTACCATAAGGTTTATGTACAACTTTCATGGTTGTTGCTATGACGTGAATTATATTATTCGCTCGACGACTGGGAGTCATGGGGGTCTCGCTGATTGGATTCATTCAGGTATAATACTTTCTTACTTATAATAAAATAATACAATGATGCATACTTATAAAATATTATACACGAAATTTTCCATTCTTTCCTTCATTTTTCCCCTAACAAAATTTCTCAAATTCTATGAAGGGAAACTCACTAGGGCTCTCTTCATTTTTTGTTTTGTTTTGTAGACTTTCATGGGACCACTTTGCAAACTTTTAAAATGTAGGTACAAGTGAAACAACGATTCTTATACCATTTTGCAACATTTAAAACATTTAAGAAATATCAAAAGAAAACTTAAAAGATTCGATGCTTGTGATAATTGACTGGCCTATAAAAGTCCATCTTATAAACCCTAGCAGCAAGCAGCAGCTGCCCACCTTCATCCTTTCCATTTCCCCTTCCCAAACCTAAAGAACAGACCTCTCTTCTCAACCCTCAAGCGGAAAGCAGCATGCCGCCTCCTTCTTTCTCAACTCTCCCCTCTCGTCCTTTCAGCCGCAACAGCAGTGAGCGGCGACGATGACTTGCTGTTTGAATCAAGGATGTATATACTATTTGAAGACGACAAGAAGGAAGTGTGATTGAAATCAGAGCGATGGTGAGAGTGATGCTGGGGCGGCGGAAAAACGACGAAAGGGGTACATGGACCCCTGCTTGGTGGTCACAAAGACGCTCTTGCGGGAGGAGGATAGACAGGTGGATCAGAGGATTTCAATTTCAGAATCGTCGATCTCTCCAGGGTTTATGGCCCATGAATCGACAACGAGGGAAACTTTGAGCATTGATTGACAACCTGGTCGGATCCCAGAAATCCCACCTGGCCGCGGTGCTGTGATGAAATCCGCGACAAGTTTGACGAACTGTTTCTGGGTTTTCACTGCTAGCAGTTTCAAACCCGGACCAAGAATTTGGGTTCTCAAACTGCTGCAAGCATCCATCCTTCTGCCTTAAAGGATTTTGCTTTTCTTTTTCCCCGCACATAGTGTGATTGATTATGAAATTGGTTAGTTATAAAATCTTAATGAAGATTTTGTTTTTATATACTCTGATTTTTGGGTTCCTGACGGCCTTCTTTAGGTACCAGGTGATTGACGATGACTTGGCAAAAAAACTCGATCCCGTTATCGTCACTACCGACACAGGGGTTCCAGCTTGGGTTCGCAAGTTGAAGTTCTTGCAGAAATTTACTATAATCTGGGTGTGGCGGCTAGGGTTTGATAGAATTTGCAGCTGGATTTTGCTATGGTTGGTAGATTTGCGCTTCGTTTGGTAGAGTTTGTATATGTGGGCTTTTTTAGAGATGGACTTTGTTTGAGTTTATTCTTTCTACAATCATGTGAATAATGTATTAAAGTATTATATAACAAAAATTAGATAGTGTATTATGTAATAAAGTTTAGTATTACTATCTTCCCTCTTATATAAATTAACCAATAATCTCGGTATTAATCTACTAAAATGAAATAATAAGCTACCCATAAATGTATTTTGTACCAAATATTGATTTTATTTATGACGATTGGCTCCACCCTCATCAGAAAAGACTAAAGAGTATTTTTGGAATTGAAAATGTTCTATTCTTAACGAATTGATTTCCATCATATATAATGTTATCACCGACAAATTTTCTTTACCGACGACACATCCTTATCGGAAATAATCATAGGGTATTTTCGGAATTAAAAATTCGATCCCATTTGCAAAGTTTTTTCTACGAATCACTGTCGTAAAAAATGTAAAAGGGTATTTTAGGAAGAAAATTATTTATTTCTAACGACATTTATATGTCAATAAAAAATATTCTACCTCACAAATAAACTTCGTCATCTTTTGAGCATCAAGTATAATTTATTTCTGACAACGATATTTTGATTAGCTACAAACAAATTTTCGTCACAAAAAAGTTTTTTCTGACGCCCTAACGAATTTCCACTTTTTGCGATGGGACTTTTTCCCATGACGACCAACGATTGTATATCGTCCTAACTAGTCATTTCCAACGAAAAAGGTCTTTTCCAACGCCAAACGTCTGGTCATAACTGACTGTCTTTTTTTGTAGTGTACTAAGAGTCTTGTCTTTCTTGTCCAGTGAGTATAAAAACTAGGGTAACTCTTCGTCTCCTTTGTCTCATAAAATATCCCACACTCTAACTATCTTCCTGCTCTCAAAAACTATCCCGCTCTCAAAGGATTCAATGGTGCTCAACAATGCTCAGCTGCACTCTGCTGTTCTTTTTAAGAACCAGAGTTTTCGTAATGCTGCAACCTACTCTCGCTATCTTCGTCGGTTTCGCGACCGACCTCTCTACCCATCCTTCTCCATTAAGCCTGGTACCTTCTCAAAGTACGACATGAACATTCCTGTTTAACTTCGAGGGTTGGGATGGGAATCTCTGGTTGAGAATCTAAGATTCAGTCAATGCCCTGAAGCGGCCAGGTTATTCTTTGTTAACCTGCGTCGTGGGCCTGGGAGTGATCCTTTCTTCTTTACCACGCTAGTGTATGACTATGAAATCAAGGTCGCTCCAGATCTCCTTGCGTCTGTTCTGGAGCTCCCTCATTCTAGTTTTGGAGCTAAATCTGATAAGGACTTCTATAGCTTCAGGTTTCGTTTCGACGAAGCAGTAGAATCCCTAGCGCATGACATTGGAAGTGGTTACCGTCCAAACTTTCTGCTGGAAGATTGCCAAATGATCTCAAGGTGCTTCATTTTCCATTACTCGATGGTTTTTATTTCGAGATCTCGCAAGCACAGACATCCTTCACTCAGCTGATCTCTGGGTTCTGTCAAATGCTCGTGCTGGTCGACGCATCAGCTATGCCTCTCTTATGTTTCAGCATATGATTGAGTTTGGGACTGAGGCATATGGTGGACCTTTAACTTTTGGTCCCCAAATCACACGCCTGTTGTATCGCCTTGGCATTGACCTTCGTGATAAGGTTATAGTGTGTGATGTGCTGGACGACCTGCGTCCTCAGCATGTTCTGGCTCGTCTTGATGCCCTTGTTGGGCCCCGAAAGCCTGTCATTGGCTTAGGGGGAGTGAGAAACCCTCAGTGTTCTACTCAAGTAGCACTTCTGCTTTTGTCAACGCAGCTGCTGCAGCGTTCAAACAAGAAGCTTGTTCAAGGAGTGGACCAAAGAGGAAGCTACTATTGGACAAGGGCCTAATGCTACCAAAGTTTGTGTATGAGTTGAATCAGATCAGTGACCCAATAAGTCCTGATTCAGATTCTGGTGATGAGGACAAAGTTGTAAACTATGCATCACCACCTCGTTATCCATTCTAAGGAACTTGGGAAAGCTTGGGAGTCGAATGAGTGTTGGTAGTTCTTATCGTAGGAATTGTGAGAGAGTCTTGTTTGGGTCTGAATTGTTAGTTCTGTTTTTAGTTGAATGATCACAAGGTCTTCATTGTTCTTCTGAATGGAATAAAAATTTCTTTTGTTAGTAGCACAAAAGGAAATAATCCTTGAATAACATAATGTTTTGGACAGGCTGCACCCATGGTTTGTTAAGTGTATGCAGGTTGCTAAAAGGAGCCATTCATAAGCTTAGGGGGAGAATGTTGGGAGAAAGCTTGACAATTAAAAGGAAAGAAACGAAGGAATAAATGATCAGCAAAACAATTGAAGAAAGGTTCCACAAATCAAGCCATCAAGGATCTCAAAGATCAATCTCTGGAAATCATTCAACGGGCAGCAAAGCAGGAGTATAAAAGCATAAGAGTTCTGGTAGAATAGACGAGCCTTTTCAATACACTTTCAATAGAAGAAACAGTAAGGGTGTCTGAGTTTAAAAGAGAAAAGGAAGAGAGCTCGTTGAGGGATTAGGGTGTTAGGAGAAGATCATTGGCAGGGAGCTGATGTTCTGAGAGTAATTCTGATCGAGTGACTGCAAGTTATTTGTGATTAAATCGGTGTATTGTAACACTGAAGAACGCGGTGCTAGTGAATCTTCAAAGGACTCAAATCGAGTACCTTTGAACGTGGATTAGTCGGTTTTGCACATTGCATACTTTATAACACGTAAAAATCTGGTGTTGTCCATTCTTTAATTTAGTTTTAGCTTACCTCTATTGTGGTACTCTGTTTTTGTTCTTGACTGCAGGTCTCTGGAACTGGACGATAGCCTAAGGAAGAAGAAGGGAAGCGTGTGGGCAAAACACATAGTTTTTCACTCAAACAAAGAGTGGAATAGGAATCTGGGTTTGGGTCGTGTTTAAGTTATTAAAAATTTAAGCTTGGTTTATTACGTGTGGGCTTGAAGTAGGTCGAGCCCATCTAACGAGTCAAACAACAGAAATAGGAAACCAAACTCGGTGAAGGGTTCCTTCGATCAAAATCTCATTTCTCATATATCACTTTGTTTCTGTTCTTCAATACAACATCAAAACCCTAATTGCTAGTTACCCAAAAAGCTTATCGAGTGTTTTACAGAAAAGAAGGGTAGGAATCTCGCGCTCGATTCACCCAACACTTTTTAGCAAGATGGTCCTGATATAATATTTATGTAGTTTTGTGGTGCGTTTGATGTACACTTTTCCTTGTAATTTTCATGTATTTGATTTATGTTTGATGTACTCTTTTCTTCAATTTCTAATGCGAGTACCTTCTTTATCGGAAACATAACAAGGAGATGCATTAAGATAACAAGAAAATACATTAAGATAAGAAATACATTAGGAGAATATAGAAACTACATTAGGAAAATATAGGAAATACATTAGGGTACAACTTTCTTTATTTCGACCAAACACACGACTACTCTCCTCCATGTATGGTCCAGAAATGCTCAATCAAGTCGTTCTGTAATGCGTGATGTCCTTGTCGATCACGAATCCTGTTATGCCTTGCCATGTACTCCATAAGAGTAGGAATGTTTTATTCTGGTGGCTCCCATGTGACATTTGGATTACTCTCGTACTCAATGTTCACCTTTTCTCCATTCTCATACTCATACTGCTGATATTCCACTATCATATTATGCATAATAATACAAGTTAACATGATATCACCAAGGGTTTGCACATCTCAGAGACGACTAGGGACCCTGAAAATGACCCATCTTTGTTGAAATATGCCAAAGGCCCTCTCAACATCCTTCCGGTAAGCCTCTTGACACCTGACACACAACTTTTTTTACTGGTTACTTGGATTGCCAATAGTCTTCACAAATGTAGCTCACTCAGGATAAATTCTGTTAACCAAGTAATAACATTGATCGTACGTTTGATCATTTACCTCATAAGTGACCTTGGGAACCAGTCCTCGAGCTGCTTGATGGAATAATGGAGACACTCCTAGAGTGTTGATATCATTGTTTGATCTAGGGGTTCCAAAGAAGGCATGTCAAATCCATGTGTTGTACGATGCCACAACTTCGAGGAAAATTTTAGGTTTCTTCTTGTGACCAGTGAATTGGCCTGCCCACCCAGTTGGACAGTTCTTCCACTCCCAGTGCATGCAGTCGATAGAAACAATCATGTGCGGGAAGCCACGTTGTGCAACATGATGAAGGAGGTGACGATTATCATCTACAGTTGGTGCATGCAAGTATTGAGCATAATTAGTGCTGGTGATAGCCGAGAAAAATTTCCTCAGACACAATAGTACGATGCTCTCAGCAATTCGACATGTTTCATCCAAAGAGTATGTCGAGCATCCATAAGCAAGCATGCCAAACGCAGAAGTAAGCTTCAGATGTGGGGAGAATGAGTCACGACCAACAACATCTAGCCCTTGCTTGAAGTAGTCATCGTACTGAACAATATCGTTCATGACTCAGTTGAATAAGCCAGGGGGAATCCAATATTGCCTTGTGAAGGCCTTAGCATCGTAGGTTGGATTTGGGTTGAAGTAGTCTTGCATCAAGAGCTTGTGACCTTATTGTTTGTTACGTCTCACTTTTTTTAGTCTTGATCGATGAACTGCCACATGATGAAGTTGCTTGATGGTGGTGAGGATGGTTTGCGCACATCATGAACATCTCAAGGTATTCATGCTCAAGTTGACACTCATGCTCCAATTGCCTATCATTGGCTTCTTTTTGCCTCTCATAAGCTTCTCTTTCCATCTCATAAGCTTATCTATCAGGAGAATCCATGAAGGCAAAATAATTTTGGGTGGCTAGAGAGAAGAATGACGGATCAATGGGGGGTTTTCAAGAAACAAGGTTGAATGGTGGATGAGTTCAAAACCAAGTCTGATGCTTCATTTATAGAAACGCGAAATGATTCCTTACGTACGAATCTTTAAAGTTGAATGAACAGTTGATAACACAATTCATTATGATTAAAGCTGAATGAATAGTTGATGGCACAACTCAATCTGACAAGCATGTGATGAATCTATGGCTATATGAACCAATAATGATATTTTCGTCATTGATTATGTCATATTTACATATAAATATTTTTATTTCCAAATTCAAAAAAAAAATTTATCGAAATTTTTGTATTAATTAATTATTAGTACCTATATAAAAAGAAGGAACAAATTTTGTAATTAGAATAATGAAATATACACAAAACTGGATTATGAGTTAAAGTGCAAATTTGGACTTTTAGAACTCACCACCAATGTAGTTAAAATCGTGCTTTAAAACTTAAAAACTTACGATGTTACGTTTCTAGGTTACTAAAACGCTTCTACTCAAAATCTAAGTTTTTACAACTTATGTAGTTAAAAACTCTGCTTTAAAACTTAAAAACTTACGATTTTACGCTTTTAGATCACCAAAACGTTTCTATGTAGAAACTAGCTTTTGACTACATTGCTCACCACTAATGCCAAAACACTTTTGGAGGGACTAAAATTAGAATTCTAGCCCCAAAATTTAGACCTTTGGATTTTGGCACTGAAGATGGTCTAAGAACTGATAGTCAAACCGCAATTTACATTACGTTCTTATGCTCTCTATGAATATATTTGGGGGATTTGATTACTACACTCTGTACAATTCTATTAAATTGTACATGAGCGTGTTTAGACTAGATCATCAAAACAATGCAGTAAAAGTCTAACTTCTATGTAAAAGCAAAATGATGGGTAAAAGCGGAAGCGCAAAAGTGTAGTGTAAAGGCGTAAACTTTTAAATATTTTATAAATTTGATAGAAATTTTATAACCATAACTTTTATATTTAAACTATGAAAAAATGGGGGGAGGGTAAGTTGGGATGACAGTAGAATTCGAATCCGCGGGTACCCTACACGACCCAACCCGGTCAACGCGGGTAAAACCCGCTTTGACGGATTGCGGGCTGGATTTGAGTTTAAATCTGCTATACTTTTTGCGGGTTGGAGATGTTTGTCTTTAGAGTTAATAGCATTTTATGCCCCTGTACTATTGCGTTTTAACAAACATGCCCCTTTACTATGATTTTGCACAAACGTACCTCTGTACTATTACGAAGTAACAAAAGTATTCTTATGTAAAAAATTCCGTTTTCTCTCCGTTAACTGAGAACGAAAAATTACCCAAATATCCCTGTGACAGTGTGACTAATATTAAAATTTCACTTTAATTTTCAAGGGATTACAGCCGAATTAAGAAAAGGAAAAAAGGAGCCCCGTAATACGCGACTCTCGTTTCCTCCTCTCAACGTTCTGCCGCTGATAATTAGGGTCGGGGCCGGCGCCGTCTTCACCTCTTCTTCTTTATTGTTCCCCCGATGCAAACTCGCAGTTCCCATCCCTCGTAGTAGAATCCAGAAACTCAACGCCAATGAAAACTATCGACTCTATTGTCCTTCATTTTTATCACCAATCCAAGCCAATGTTGCTTCCACCATCACACCCGGCCAAAGACGAGAGAAAGGAGAGAGCCAAATACATTATATGATGTAATTAATTAACAATTCTTCTTCTTCTTAGTAGGTCAGTGACTCTCTTCTCTATATTTCACTTGCTGCCAGTAACGCGGTTCGAGGAAAAGACGGTGGACTAAGGAAATCGAATGTGTTGGCTGCCAGCGGAGCTAGATGAGAAGGCGGATGAGATAATGAACGGGTTGGTGGACGCCGGCAGAGTTGGATCACGCCGGTGGTGAAGACGGTGCTGACCTCGTTGCTGTGGTCGAAGGCCGATGATCGGCTGCTGAACGACTAGAGGAGAAAACAGGGAGTAGCGTACGAGGCTCCGTTTTACCTTTTCTTAATTCGGTCATAGACTCATAGTTCCTTCAAAATTAAAGTGAAATTTTAATATTAGTCATAATGGTACTATGGTAATTTCCGGTCTTAAAGGATATAAAACGAATTTTTCGACAGAAGGGCATTTTTGTTACGTCGTAATAATACAGGCCACGTTTGTGCAAAATCATAGTATAGGGGCACGTTTGGTAAAACACAATAGTACAGGTGTATAAAATGCTATTAACCCTTACCTTTAATATTGAACAATTGTTATGAATGATTTGTGAGTTAGTGTTATGTATTAGACAATAATAGTGAAAACTAGTGTAATTGCATCTTTGTACATGAACCCATGGGTACACATGAATCCACGGATATCCAGCGAGTCGGGTTTGAGTTTTACAAACCCAGTAGATTTTACCCCCGGATTTTTGGTGGATAAATCCATGGATTTGGTTTTGGGTTTGGCATAACCCGCCCCAACCCGACCCATTGCCATCCTTAAGGGAAGGAGAAGTCATGTGTGTGATTAAATGAGGAAGAAAAAATCCACCCCACAAACCACAAAATCCTCTCCACAAATAATCCTCCCCACAAACTACAATATCCTCCCCCACCAACCACAAAATCCACCCACAACCCACATAATTCTCTCCACAAACCACAAAATTCACCCTACAAAATCCAGGACAGAACCAACAAAATCCAGGCCACGAGTTTCTTAAAGTCGCCCAGAAGTTTCTTTAAAAGTGTACCTGTTTGTAAAATTTTAAAAGTCCAGGTATCAAAATGTAAGAGAAAAAATTATAGGTACTAAAATATAATTTTCCATCAATATTTTTAGAACTTATATGTAAGAAGATTAATTTTAGGCACTAAATATTTTGATGTATTAAATTTGGGTACCAAAACTGTAATTTGTATATATAACAAATTAGGCCTAAGTTCAAGTCCTTAAACACTTTTTTTAAGGAGGATCTTAAAGCATTGTGATTGGCTGATTTAATTTTAAGTAGTTAGTAGGGAGTTATTAGTTAATTAGTTGTTAAGCGTATTTAGAGAATCGTAAGTAATTTTAAAACTAAAATAATTAAACCTTTTAATCTCTAAACTCACATCTTATTCCTTTCTCCGAGCCGAACCGTTTCTCTCCTCTGAATGTTTCCACCAAGCAAAGTTCTCCGTTCGTCATTTCGGCTCCCGTCACGATTCTCCGCCCCTCGTTCATGCTTTCGGTACGGTCCTCTACAGCGGCGGCGACCTAATTCTCTAATTCAGTAGTGGCGTCGGTTCCTTTGGCAGCGCTCCCCCGCTCCCGCCGTCGGCCACAACGTACGTCAGTCTCTTTCCGACACCAACTATCTTGTTCGGGCCGAGACATCTGTCAACAACGTCTTCTGTATTTCGGACGGGCGTAGCCTACCTCCGGATTCGCCCCGTTCACCGTAGCTTGCCTCCACAGTCGCTCCCTTCACTCCCGTCCGACGTAGCTTACCTTCGGCGGGCCGATTCGTTTAAGAAGGCAATTTTCTTATAATATGTTGTTTTGGTACGTAGTTTAGGTTTTTCGTTTGGTGTGCATGGGTTTGGAGTTTTTCTTTCACCATTATTATTATTTTTAAGGTTGTTATCAATATTTTCTTACGGGCGATGTTTTAAATCAATGGTGTGATGAACGTGTCCTATTGTGGGCTTTTTGTCATTAATATTATTATTTTCAGCGGCCATTATCAATTCTTGAAACTTGCACTATTATTAATCATTCGTATCATGAACGTGTACTATTATTAGTATGGGTTTATTTAATGTTTCTTTGCCAATTAATAATATTTTCACCGCCATTATCAACATTTTTTTACATGCACTTTTACTATCCTTGTTGAATTAACGTGTACTATTATTAATATATTATCATTGTTAACGTTTATTGTTTCATTATTAATATTTTCCATCGCATTATCAACAATTTTAGAGTATTCCATGAAGGGAGATTGGACAAGGCGAGGTTAACCGTGATGGCTTTTTGCTAATGAGCCACTTATTCCTGTTCCCATTGATCAAGCTTTGATGGTGCTAAGGTCGCGGACAATCCAGAGGTACACACTGTGCCGACCAAGACAAATCCTACGTTTGCAACACGAAACATCTCAGTATCCATTGTGATTCCATCGTGTCCTCTGTCCAAGTTGTTAACAACATCTTGGCCCTCAAAGTTTTCGTCACACGACATTTCATTCAGATCAACATCGTTGCATATATATACTTATCAACAACATTATAATAAATTACAGTTATTCTCTTAATAATATTCAACCACCTCATCAACAAATATTATCAAACATTACTTTCGAGCACGACACTATGACAATACGTTATTAAAAGAATAAATTTACATTTTTAATAATTTTCAGCAACCTTGTCAACTGATAATATTACACCTTTACAAAAAGATTAACTTATTAACATTTTTATATTATGTTATAAATACGTTATCAACCAAATTGTAAAGAGAACTCTAGTACCTATCAACAATATCAACCCATATTATTACACCTTAGTAACCGACCACGCGACTATTATTAATTATATAACGAGATTTCTTATTTTTCAACCTAAATAATATAACGTAATAATGATTAGTAACAAATTATTAACATTTGTTGGGCAGTTATTAACATTGCGACCTAACGTTATTAATGTCTATGCTGTGTATAATGAACACTATACAATCATTATTATTAGCCTTCCATACAAAGTATCATTAATGATATACACAAATATTATTAAAAACTTGTTAATAATAATGGCTTAACTTACTTAAAAATAATGATAACTAACTTACAACCACAATATACTCTTAATAATGAAAGAGTGTTGTATATGCTTAGGGTTTTGTGTTATTGTTTATGTTTATATTATATTGGCCAGTTCGTTTAATGGATGCTTAGGGGTTTTTATAAACGTTTTCCGCATGTATTAACATTTCAATGCTACATTATTAATCAGTCTGTGCTTGGTATTAACATTTTTTTCCAGTTATCAACGTTTCGATGTCCATTAGTAATAATTTAGAAATGGTGCCATCGTCGATTTTCTCCTTATTAATAATTTTCATCGCCATTATCTACGTTTACGTATCCATAATTAATCAATGTTTTTGTCGTAAGGAAACACTCGTTATCAACGTTTCTGTCTCCATTAGTAATAATTTCGTCGACATTGTCAACATTTATTATCTCACTTTTCCACTATTAAGCAATTTTTGGTCGTTGTCAACGTTTCAATCTCTTTACACTGTTTCATTTTGGTATAATAACAATTAATAATTTTCATCGCCATCATTAGTAATCACAATGGTCCATTATTAATAATTTTTGTTGCCATTTTCAATCTTTTTACACTGTTTCGTTATAATTTAATTAACTTGTATTATTAATCACTCTTTGGACGTTCTCAACGTTTCTGTTGTCCATTAGTAATCAATTTGTGGTCTTTGTCAAGTCCATGAAGTCGGTCGGCCGGCCGCGAGGATCGCTTTATCGTCACGATGCCGGCGAAGCAGCGCAATGGTAACGGCTGGCGACGCCAATGAAAGGAAGTGGCCGTATGGACAATGGCTGCGCGGAAAGGAGGCGAGATGAGATGGTTGGGTACGAGACGGCGGGAACGGAGGTGAGACAGCGGCGAGTATTCAGACAACGAAAACGGAGGCGAGACAGCGGCGATTGTCCCGACGGTGGCGATTGTCGAAGCAATTTTAAGGTTGGGAGGAGGACATGGGTTCGAAAATAAATCTCCACCCGTGTTTATTTGATTTTCGGCAGTTTTCGATTAGTAATTATTAGTAATTATTTTTTTACTTTATTCTCATCTTACTCTTGCACGTTTCTGTTTGGTAGTTGGACAATGATTACTAATGACTCTCTCTCTCTCTCCTTCTCCTATTGGTTGAAAAGGTTTTAAGATCTTCCTTAAAAAAGAGGCCTTAAGGATCTGATCTATCAAGAGAATCCATGAAGGCCAAATAGTTTTGGGTGGCTAGAGAGAAGAATTGAGGATCAATGTGTGTTTTCTAGAAAGAAGGTTGAATGGTGGATGAGTTCAAAACCAAGTTAGATGGTTCATTTATAGAAACCTGAAATGATTCCTTCTGTAAAAAATTTTAAAGTTGAATGAACAGTTGATGACACAATTCATTATGATCAAGGCTGAATGAATAGTTGATGACACAACTCGATCTGACAAGCATGTGATGAATCTATGGCTATATGAACCAATAATGGTGTTTTTGTCATTGATTATGTCATATTTATATATAATTTTTTATCTACAAATTCAAATTTTTTTATCGAAACATTCGTATTCATTAATTATTAGTACCTATATAAAAGGAAGGAACAAATTTTTTAATTAGAATGATGAAATATACACAAAATTGTATTATGAGTTAGAGTGCAAATTTGGACTTTTAGAACTCACCATTAATGCCAAAACACTTTTGGAGGGGCTAAAATTAGAATTCTAGCCCCAAAATTTGGACCTTTGGATTTTGGTACTAAAGATGGTATAAGAACTGACAGTCCAACTGCAATTTACATTACGTTCTTATGCTCTCTTTGAATATATTTGAGGGATTTGATTACTACACTATGTACATTTCTATTAAATTGTACATGAGCATGTTTAGATTAGATAAAAACAATGCAGTCAAAGTCTAACTTCTATGTAAAAGAAAAATAATGAGTAAAAGTGGAAATGCAAAACTGTAATGTAAAGGCGTAAACTTTTAAATATTCTATAAATTTGATAGAAATTTTATAACCATAACTTTTATTTTCAAACTATGAAAAAATTGGGGGGGGGGGGGGGGGGGGGGAGTAGGGAAGACAATAGCAATGTAGTCAAAAGCGAGTTTCTACGTGGAAACGTTTTGATGATCTAGAAGCGTAAAATCGTAAGTTTTTAAGTTTTAACGCGGAGTTTTTAACTACATAAGTTATAAAAACTGAGATTTTGTGTAGAAGCGTTTTAGTGACATAGAAACGTAAAATCGTAAGTTTGTAAGTTTTAAAGCGCGATTTTGACTACATTGGACAGTAGAACCCGAATTCACAGGTACCCTACCCGACCCAACCCAGTCAACGCGGGTAAAACCTGCTTTGACTAATTGCGGGCTGGGTTAGGGTTTAAACCCACTATACTTTTTGCGGGTTGGGTTTGGGTTTAGTCATATCTAACCCGTGGATACTAGCTCGCACCCAAATCCATACCCCCCACGAACCACAGAACCCTTAACTAATCAACTATAATTTTTAAACTAATTCCTAACACTTTCAATTAATAATATTATTTGTGAATGTTTATCTTTAATGTTGAACAATTAGTATGAATGATTTGTGAGTTAGTGTGTATGTAGTAGACAATAGTAGTGAAAACTAGTGTAATTGCATCTTTGTACATGAACCCATGGGTATCCATGAACCCGCGGATACCCAGAGGGTTGGGTTTGAGTTTTACAAATCTAGTGGGTTTTACCCCAGGATTGTTTGGTGGGTAAACCCATGCATTTGGGTTTGGCCGGCCCAACCCGACCCATTGCCATCCCTAAGGGGAAGGAGAAGTCACGTGTGCAATTAAATGGAGAAGAAAAAAAATCCACCCCACAAACCACATAATCCTCCCCACAAACCATAAAATCCACCCCACAAATCACATAATCCTCCCCATAAACCACAAAATCCACCCCACAAAATCCTCCCCACAAACCACAAAATCCACCCCACAACCCACATAATTCTCTCCACAATCCACAAAATCCACCCCGCAAAATCCAGGACACAAATGACAAAATCCAGGCCACAAGTTTCTTAAAATCGTCGAGAAGTTTCTTTAAAAGTGGACATGTTTGTAAAATTTTAAAAGTTTAGGTATCAAAATGTAAGAGAACAAAATTATAGGTACTAAAATATAATTTTCCATCAATATTTTTAGGACTTATTTGTAAAAAAATTAATTTTAGGCACTAAATATTTCGATGTCTCAAGTTTAGATACCAAAACTGTAATTTGTATATATAACCTATTGTATTATGTATACATAACCTATTACAACAATGTAGAGAAAAGAGGAGGGGAAGGAGAAGGGGTAATTACTATAATACTCTTAATGAAAATGTTAGCATGGTGTTAACACTTAAGGGGTAACAAATTTGTGAAGAATTTATTATCAATACTAATAAACTTGCCTAATGACTAGTTGGAGAATTACTTTTGCGTGTCAACTCACAATAAACCACATCCATCCATCACCCACCCAACATAATTCAAAATATAATATGGGTTGATAACAATATAGAATCATATGAACTCTTTCAAAAAATAAATGAATAAATTTTGAGACCGAAATCCACCCATCCCCGGACTACTCAATCATCTCTAAATTAAACATAAGATACATTCCAACATCCGTTATACATCAAAATGTCTAAAACGCACCCTTATTACATACTTTCTTTCCTTGCATTATAATTGATCTCTCAACAATTGCTTGACAGTTGACGCTAAACAGTCATACCATCAAACGCTAGCTCTTTATTCCTTACTAAGATTGCTAGCTTTATCAATACTTAATAACAAATTGCCTCTAGTGCTTCTTTTATACACAAAGTACAACATGCTACCGTAAAACTCAAGAAGATTTTTATTTACTTGAATGGCAACTTGGAAGTACGTAATTTTTTTTTTATAATGACAACTTGAAAGTATTTCTTGACAACTTGGTTAAATCAAGAAAACAACCAGCTTCCATCGAATGAATCACCCTATCTAGGATGGTAAACCAATTCGATAAGATTAACCAAACTATTTATAAAAAAATACTGTTTCATTCAAATATAAAACAAATTGTTAGTGTTAATCTAATCGATAAGGACAACATAAACTATTTTAAATTTAAACTGACTCAATCTTTTTTTTTCCCACCGGTGCAGGTAGGTCGAATGTGTCACGGTCTGTTTTTTACGGTTTTAACCTAACAAGCCAAAACCGCTAGTACTAGCCTAGTTGGTTTCTGGCTAACCGAAAGAAGAAGGAAAAAACCGAATCCAATTAGCACCACCTACATTTATCTATAGTGAATTCCTTCCTGGCACCGGTGAGGTCACGATTGAGGTTTACCATCCATTTTCGGAAAGTGTGGATCTATATTTGGCTTTCCCTTAATCTGCACATAATTTACATGTCCTTTACAACTCCTTAAGCAACGCCCCAATAAAGCCCATGCATGCATCTTATTCTGAGAACTCAATCTCTCCACCACCATTCACCTCTATATAAACATGCATTAAACTGATCCCACCATCATCATCATCATCCAACTTACCACACACACATCAAATCAAAATACCCAATCCCACAGCTCACAAACCATGGCTACCACCAACACATCGTCTCATCATCTCCTCCTGTTCCTGGCAGCAACCTCCTCCATCATACTACTAATCTCTTCACTCTGCCAGCACTCCCACGCCCAGAACGCAGCGCAGGACTACCTAAACGCCCACAACTCTGCTCGGGCACAGGTTTTGTTACGTTATTTACGACTTACAACATTGTTGCATCGCGCGTATCAGGATGGTACGATTCATATAATAACGTGATTCTTTTCAAACTCTCATTTTATAATTAGGTTGGTGTGGCCAACATCACTTGGGACGCGACGGTGGCTGCGTACGCACAAAGCTACGCCAACTCCAGGGTATCAGACTGCAACCTGGTCCACTCCGGGGGCGCTTACGGGGAGAATCTGGCCAAAGGAAGCAGCTCCACATTCAGCGGGACTAGCGCCGTGAACCTTTGGGTGGCGGAGATGCCCTACTACGACTACGCTTCCAACGCATGCACGGGAGGGAAGCAGTGTTTGCATTATACTCAGGTGGTTTGGAGGAACTCGGTGAGATTAGGGTGCGCCAGGGTGCAGTGCGCCAACGGCTGGTGGTTCGTCACTTGCAACTACGATCCACCGGGCAACTACGTCGGCCAGCGCCCTTACTAGCTCATCATCCTATATTCATCTCTCGGCGCGCAGCAACATTATTGAAGTATGCTACACTATAATTATGTGATTAATCATTGATCTCACCCAACCCTTAAGTAATATTATGTATGCTATAGACGTACACCTTAATACTAATATGTTGTAATACATAAACGATATAACATCATAATGCATGGTATCGTAACTATATATAGTTTCAAACAATATTGTATTTTGATTTTGTTTCCCATGGGATATACGGGAATGGTTGTAATGAGTTGCTCCATCATGGAGGGTTTATAATAAATCTATTACGGTTACTTGAGTTGCTTGGTTAGCAAGTAACCGTGTCCTGTTGGACGTCTAGGACTTTGTCCTTGTTGTAATGGGTTTCGGCTATTAAGTCTACCCTAGTCTTGGTTATAAATACTTAGCTGCGGGTGTTGTCGTAGCAAGTATCAAGTAATAACGTCAGAAAATAAAAACAGTCGTGAGCTCGTTCGAGTTCACTGTGGATTAGTCCTGTTCAATCTGAGCAGGGATACCACGTAAAATCGTGTGTTTGAGTTTTCGTTCTTCCGCGTTCACAATTTCTTCATGGTATCAGAGCTAACCTCGATCCTTTGTTAGGGTTTGCGCTTTCGTCCTCTGTTCCGCCGGCTTATGAGCTGTCCTTGCCATGTCCGGCGAGACCACATCGGAATCGAAGGGAGCTGTTCTCTCAGATGTCATCACTGCGACGTCTCCTCTGTTTCTGCATCCCTCAGATGCACCAAGTCAGGTTTTTGTCGGGGAGCTGCTCACCGACCTCAATTACGGCGAATGGGCGGCTGAGATGTCCAATGCTCTCATTGCCAAAAACAAGTTAGGGTTCGTGCTTGGCACCGTCGAGAAACCCGCTGGGGGAGAATCACTAAATGCTTGGATACGCTGCAACGCCATGGTGATTGGCTGGCTCCGTCACGCTATGTCCAAAGAGATCCGCAGTAGTCTGAGCACCGGCCTTACTGCGCAACAGATATGGGAAGAACTCCAAGAACGATTTAGTACCGGGAGCCTTCCTCGGTGCTATAAAATCCGCCGCCAAATTGCCAGTCTTCGTCAAGATTGATCCAGCGTAGCTACATTCTATGCCAAGCTCAAGCGTCTCTGGGAGGATTGGATGTCACTTGATCCCCCAGCCACGTGCACATGTGGTTTGTGTACTTGTCAAGTTGAAAAGCGTACTCGGGAATCTAGAGAGGCTATGCAATTGTTGGACTTTTTAGTTGGATTGGACGATAGCTTCTCTACCATTCGTACGCATCTATTGTCTCTAAAGCTAATGCCTAGCCTAGGCGAGGCTTATCAAGCTGTCGCTAATGACGAACAGCAGAAAAGCATCACCCATGATCATCGACCCCGCGTTGAGGCCGCCGCCTTCCAAGGTCAGGGGGAGCGTTCTCGTCCCGATGAGCGAACTGCTGATGGCCGTCGCAAGTGCTCTCATTGTGGTAAGCCAGGGCATTTTCGTGAAACATGCTATAACATCATCGGCTGGCCAACGAAGTCTGGTGACAAGGGAGATAAAAGTCGTCGCCGACCTTCGTCTCATCAAGGGCGTGCGGAAGCTCAAGCTGCCGCAGTCGAGCGTGCTGATCTGGCTATTCCTGGACTGACCGCTGATCAGATATCCCAGCTGAAGGCCTTCTTGTATGCCGATTCCTCTCCAGCTGAAGTCTCCACAGTCCAGCCGAAGGCCAACATGTCAGGTACGCATAGTGATACTGCTTCTCCTTTTACGTGGGTCATTGATTTCGGATGTAATGAGCATATTGCTAAACACTCTTCGTTGTTGACTGGTGAGTTGGAGTCCGACTCAAGTTTATAGGTTCGTATTCCAAATGGTACTGGAATACCTGTTCGTGGCGTTGGTACTTCTAAATTGGATAATGGTTTAGAACTCCGTCGTGTTTTACATGTGCCGGATTTTCAGTGCAATCTTTTGTCAGTCAGTCGTCTTACCGCTGATCATCCGGTGGCCGTGATATTTTTAAGCAGCTTTTGTGTCATTCAGGACTTGCAATCCAGAGACATGATTTGGATGGGTAAACACGTCGATGGACTTTACTACTTGCGGGTGTTTGGCAGTAGGCATCCAGTGGCGTTGGCAGCGCAGCAAGCAGTCAAAGATTCTCAGTTATGGCATTCCAGGCTTGGTCATCCCTCCGCGGCTAAGCTTACTGCAATGCAGCATTATCTTTCTCAGACTTTAGTTGTTAATAAAGACCCGTGTTTGTCTTGTTTACGGGCTAAGCAGACTCAGCTACCTTTTTCTTCCAGTACCATTAAGACTCATTCTTGTTTTGAACTCATTCATATTGATATTTGGGGAGGTTATAAGCAAGCTTCATTTACTGGTGCTTACTATTTTCTCACGATCGTTGATGACTTTAGCCGCACAGTTTGGGTGTACCTGTTGAAGCAAAAATCCGAGGTTGCTAGGTATCTCTTGCTCTTTTGTAATCAGGTGAAAACACAATATGAGCAGCGTGTTAAGAGAATCCAAAGTGACAATGGCCGAGAATTCACTGTCCCGGAGTTACGGGATTATTATCAGCGTGAAGGGATCATACTTCAAACATCCTATGTCAACACTCCTCAACAAAATGGTGTGGTCGAGCGTAAACACCGTCATTTGTTGGACACAGCTAGAGCGCTTCGTTTTCATTCTGGTCTTCCAATTCATTTTTGGGGAGAATGTGTTCTCACGGCTTCATACCTGATCAATTGTATGCCCCTTACGTCTCATCAAAATAAAACTCCATATGAAGTTCTCCTTGGTCAGGTTCCCAAGTATGATCATCTTCGCTCGTTTGGTTGTCTCGTCTATGCTAAAGACACCCATGCCAGTCTATCAAAATTCGCTGCTCATAGTCGTCCTGGGATTTTCGTCGGTTATCCAGCCCACCAGCGTGGATATCGCATTTTCGATATCGATCGGCAAGTCATTTACTCTTCAAGGGATGTATTCTTCTTGGAGGAGGTATTTCCTTTTGCCAAGATTTCACCATCTGTTGTGGACCCACCTACCCTCTCTCCGTCGCACAACTATATTGGACTTGATGATGATTCTTCAGCAGAGTTGGGAGACCTTGTGGATCGCATGGCCAGCTTGCTAGATGACGTAGAGAATGAGCTCCCAGACCCACCTTCCACTAATAATGTTGGACATAATGATTCTCATAATTCCCCACATGTTGTGCATGAGGTGTCTCCCTCGTCTGCTCATACGTCACCACTAGCTGACCAACATCTCCCACCTCGGATCATACTATCTCCTCGACGTCAGATGGCCCATCCTCACCCACTGGCGTCTTGTTCCCATTGTTGGATGCTGAGACTTCTCCGACTTTTTCACCCGCGTCAGGGTCCTCGTCCGGTTCATCGCAGGCATCACCTGCTGCAGTTGCACCGCCACCGCCTCGTCATAGCACTCGTGTTACACGTCTTCCCCGTCGCTATGATGATAGCATAGTTGAACTTCCTGGTCATCAGGCGAACATGAGTCACGTCCTATACCCCATCAACAACTATGTTAGTTACGACCGCCTCTTGCCTGAGCACAAGGCCTATGTCGCCCAAGTCTCCAACGTTTTTGAACCCAACTACTATTACCAAGCTGTTAAGTATGAGCACTGGCGCAAAGCCATGCAAACAGAGTTCACGGCACTTGAGTCCAATGGTACATGGGTTCTCGTTCCACTTCCTTCAGGCAAGAAAGCTATTGCGTCAAAATGGGTTTATAGAGTAAAATTTAACCCAGACGGTTCAGTCGAGCGTTATAAAGCTCGTTTAGTTTCAAAAGGTTATACTCAGGTCGAAGGGATTGACTACCACGACACGTTCGCACCGGTTGCTAAATTGGTTACTGTTCGCTGTTTGATAGCCATTGCTGTTAGTCAGAATTGGATACTTCATCAACTCGACGTAAATAACGCCTTTCTGCATAGCGATCTTTGCGAAGAGGTTTATATGGAGGTTCCTCAAGGTTTTGCTCATCCTGGTGATACTCGTGTCTGTAAGCTCCTCAAGTCTATCTATGGGTTAAAACAAGCTTCTCGTAACTGGTACAAGAAGTTTTCGGAAGCCCTCCTCGAGTTCAAGTTTGTTCAAAGTCGAGCTGATCACTCCTTATTTATTCACCGGTCTGGTTCCAGTTTTGTTGCAGCCCTTATCTACGTCGATGACGTTATCCTTGCTGGTAATGATGCGACGTTCATTCAGAATGTCAAAGACTTCCTCCACTCGCGCTTCACGATCAAGGATTTGGGTCCTCTTCGCTATTTCCTTGGGATTGAGGTGGCACGATCTCCTAAAGGCGTTGTCCTCAACCGGCGTAAGTATGTCCTCGACATTTTGGCTGATAGTGGTCTCATTTGTACTCGTCCTTCGTCGACTCCCATTGAACAGAACCATCAACTGGGTCGTGGTCCTTCTTCTCCAGTGGTCGATGCTTCTAGTTACCGTCGCCTTGTGGGTAGACTCTTATACTTGACTGTGACTCATCCCGACATTCAGTATGCTGTCAACATACTTAGTCAAGCCGTACATGCTCCCACACAGGCCCATGTCGACACCGCTACTCGCGTTCTTCGATATCTCAAACAATCCCCCGGGCATGGTTTGTTCTTCCCTGTCGATAGTTCTCTTACTCTCACTGCTTTCTGTGACGCGGATTGGGCTGGTTGTCCCACCACTCGTCGTTCTACTACTGGCTATTTTATTAGTCTTGGTGGTGCCCCCATTTCTTGGCGTACTAAGAAGCAGTCCGTTGTTGCACGTTCGTCTGCTGAAGCTGAGTATCATGCCATGGCCACCACGATTAGTGAGCTGGTTTGGCTTCGTTGGTTACTTGGTGAGTTAGGACATCCCATGTCTACTGCTACTCCTTTGTTTTGTGATAATCAGGCTGCTTTACATATATCGGCTAATCCTGTCTTTCACGAAAGGACCAAGCACGTAGAAACGGATTGTTATTTTGTTCGAGAACGTGTTTTATCTAAGGACATTCAGTCGTGCAAGATTGCTACTGAAGACCAGCCTGTGGATATTCTCACCAAAGGCTTGAGCGTTGATTAGTTTCATCACCTTCTTTCCAAGCTCGGCATGCTTGATATACATGCTTTCGCTTGAGGGGGAGTATTACGGTTACTTGAGTTGCTTGGTTAGCAAGTAACCGTGTCCTGTTGGACGTCTAGGACTTTGTCCTTGTTGTAATGGGTTTCGGCTATTAAGTCTACCCTAGTCTTGGTTATAAATACTTAGCTGCGGGTGTTGTCGTAGCAAGTATCAAGTAATAACGTCATAAAATAAAAACAGTCGTGAGCTCATTCGAGTTCATCGTGGATTAGTCCTGTTCAATCTGAGCATGGATACCACGTAAAATCGTGTGTTTGAGTTTTCGTTCTTCCGCGTTCACAATTTCTTCAAAATCGAAAGAAGAATTCACAATTTGAGTATCACCTCATCAACATGCACTTGTTCTTTTATATATCAAAGTAGTTTCATGGCAATGTGCCTCGTAGTGGTGCTCCCTACAGTCGCATTGTCTTGTGAGATGTGAAATCTCTTATTCGATATTCTGTGTGTTGGGAATTATGGTGGTGTTGTTTCTTGCTCTCGGAACACTCTCAATTCCAAACTCTCCATTGTCTTTCTTGATCATGGATAGTCTAGAAAACCCGAAATAAAGAGGGTTTTGAACTCAATCAACCACATACTCATTCTCTTGCTTCCAAATTTTGTTTAACCAATTCGAGGAGTTTTCGGCTACTTCTCTTTCTCCTATGTCTCCTCCCCCTCTTTCATCTCCTCCCTCTTCTAGTGACTTCTTGAAGTCACTACCACATTGGTGAGTGAAGCCTTGCAAAAGGTGAATAAAGATAGGATTCTCTCTCCAAAGAGTATTGTCCTTGAAGTTACCCACTTTTGTGGAAGGTGGAGGAGCTAAATGACATTCAAACCACACACACGCACATTTACATAGCAGAAACACGAAAGAGACTATTCTTCACAGACCTCTAGTTTTTTCACAAACCGAAAGATAGCGTATGGTTGTTTAATCCTAAGGTGACTAGTTGATAGTATGTTGTGCGCAATACGAGGCAATACCACAAAAGTTTTAAAGAAAGTGACCTAATCCATGACTCAACCAGATTTTGTAACCTCAATTTTACTTGTTCCCTTTCTAATGGGAATGGCGGAAATTAACGAATTGGTCCAAAAAGAAGAGTAGCGGCAAGGAATACTGTTGTACAATTGAACCCAAACATAGTCAAATGGTTCAATCTAAAGTGTATTTCCTATCCAAGCAGCTAGGAATAGACACTGAGTCTGTGGTTTGTGGGGATGTAGTAACTAGCTTGTTATGAAGTTTTTATCAGATTCCTAGCTAGTTCATCCAGTTTTGGCTTGTTTCTCATTCAATATCAAAGACCACCTCATCGACCACTGTGGGGACGACATTATGTCACTATGAAGAAAAAATCATGTCCACCTAACACTAGAAGTTTTTCCAGAGTTATTCTGGAACTTCACTTGTGTCTTTGGTGGATACGGGGTAGTAAACCCCCAGCTCCTCTGGCGATTGAAAGCAAGTCTTTAGCGAAGAGATATCAGTATAAGATAATCTTCAATTAGCTACATATACACTTTGTTGACTTGGTTGATTTATTTCGTTTGTTCTAGATTACAAACTTTTCTAGGGATTATTTGTCAGACTGGTCTTTGCTATGATCAATGCTTCTTGTTGTGTTGATTAGTCCACTGTGTCTCGTTAATCCTCTTAGTCTGATGTATAGAATATAAGATCTCCCCCAAGCTAAGAACCATAAAATTTATTTGAACAAACTAGAAACCTTGATGAAGGTACAAGTTCAATTATTCAACCCTCAACTATAAAACAAACACTCTCAATAATATGATGGCAGTATTTCAATCAAAGCAAAATGCTAAAAAGAAAAGCACACAAGAGCAAACTTCAGCTGCAAAGTAAATGATGTCAATTGTCACCTGATCACATAGTGCCGAAAGCATTTTTCAAACACTCTCGAGGTTTACACAAAGCTTCCAATGGCTCAGCTTTTGGTGTGGTTAGCCCTTGTCCTTCTGACATGTCCAATAACTCTTGGCCAATCCGCTCCCACTCAAAGCATTGAATCAAAGCAGCCAAACCCACGCTCACGACCCGGTTTGCAAGCCCAGATCCAGGACACGACCTTCTTCCCATACCAAAGGGAAGTAATTTGTAAGGCTCCACCTCCACCCCTTCATGCCTCTCAGGATAAAATGCCATAGGATCTTTCCATATCGTTGGATCTCTATGAATAGCCCATGCATTAACAAGCAACATTGTCCCCTTAGAAATGTGGTAACCTCCAACGACACAATCCTCAGAGGACTGGTGCGGTACTAATGTTGGCGTCACCGGATGTAGACGAAACGTTTCATTTATGATGCATTGAAGGTACGGAAGTTTAGGACAATCAGATTCATCTACAATTCGGTTGTTGCCCACTACACTGTCTATCTCCGCTCTAGCTTTGCTGAGGACTTCCGGGTGGTTGAGTAAGAGTGACATGGCCCATTCTATCATTGCCGCTGAAGTGTCTGTCCCTGCAAGTATCATTGTCTACAAAGACAATACTATTTAAATTTAAAACATTCTTTTTAATGTTTTGAAGTAAATATGGGTTCCAATTTAAATATAGACCATAGTAGAATAAATAGTTCAGTTCAATAATTCACATTTTATTCTAAACTAAAAACAACTACTCATGAAATTTTTAAAAGATAATTAAACAATTATTAAAATTCATCATGACAGATTTTTAACAGGTAATATATAATTTAATCATGTCACTAATGAAGCACCCTCAAATCCTTACTCAAGCTTTGTTGGGATGAATAGTTATTAATGAAATTCCTAATTAATTATCCAGTATTTTCCTATAATACAAAAATAAGATGGATAATTAATAAAAGGAATATTATGGAGATAATTAGGATTACTTATCTTAATAGATTATATTTTAATTGTGTGAGTAATTATCTCCCTTATTAAAATGTGACTTATTACCAAAGAAAGAGGGAATATTCTGGGTTTTCTGCTCCTATAAATAGCAGACCCCCCAGACCCTCTAAACACATCTCAGGGAGCAGAAACACGAGAAAGAGGGTGAGTTCATAGAGCTCCGTTTTCCGCCCAAAACCGATGAGCAACAAAATTAGAGTGGTTGTTTTATTCTGGAGGCGACCGGCTGATAGTCTGCCGTGCGCAATAAAGGCAGTGCCGCAAACGTTTTAAACAGAGCGACCTAGTCCGCGACTTAGCCAAATCGGTAATCCTATTATCGAGTTCGGTTTATATCAAGCTTAGCATACAAATTGCATGGCGGATGATCATAATTAAGAATCGCTTACCATGACGTGGCCTTTGATTATTTCGTCGGAGTAGGTCTCAGGTTCAAATTCCTGCAAACTCAAGAACGTGTCGATCATAGTCTTCCTCCCCGTATCATCATCCCTCTGTACATCGCCGTTTCGATGCTCATCAATCAAGCCTTGGAAGAAAGCATCGGTCCTCGCCTGTGTCTCCCGCATCCTCTTCTCCAGCCCGCTGAAATCGACCCACCTCAACGCCGGCAAGAAATCGACCGGATTCGACGTCCCACTCAGCTCAAACACATCCCTTATCAACTCCTTAAACCTCTCTCCTTCTTCACGACCTTCTTTCCCTTCCTCGCCAAAATATCTCTTCCCGGCAACCATCCTCATCACCATGTTCATCGACAAACCCACCAGCCTCGACTTCACCTCCACCTTGCTGAAACCCGACACGTCAGCGGCGTTGACGAGTTCCATGACGAAGCGCGTGACCTCGTCGCGACGGATGTGGAGGAAGGAGTTGAGGCGGGCGGTGGAGAGGAGCTCGACGGTGGAGAGGCGGCGGAGGTTGCGCCAGTGTGGGCCGTAAGGTGACGCGCCCATGGTGGTGTAGTTGTAGCCGATGATCTTCCAGCCCACGAAGTTGTTGGGCCGGTTGGCGAAGACGATGTCGTTTTTGTTGAGGCACTCCTCGGCTAGAGATGGGGACGAAACGACGATCGCGTTTCGGACTCCTAAAGTGAGAGACATGATGGGGCCGTACTTGTTTGAAAGGGTTTGTAACGTTCTGTGGACGGGCTGTTTCAGGAGATGGATGTGGCCGATGAAGGGGAGCGACGGCGGGCTCGGCGGGTGGTTTCTACGACGTCGTTTCGCTTCCGCGGAATTCGTTAGGAGGAGCTTGGAAATGAGGAGGACTAGGAAGATTGTGGGGAGGAAGTAGAGAGCCATGGTTCCCTCCATCATCCGACGATTTTGTTTAGAGACTTGTGAGCTGTAAGGCTTTGTTGTGTGTAGCTTTTTATATAGTGGTGTTGTGCTGTGAATGATGCCCGTCAATTAATGACGACGTGAAAGAAGATTTTGTATCTAGCTACCTTGGAGGCAGAGAGTGTAATTAACGTCATATTATTGTAAAGTAATTGATGGTAACTAGATGATGTCAACATGTACAGCCTTGTATTTTTCTCGACGGATGTTTAGTGTGTCATTGTCCGTCCGTTTGCCGTCCTTCGATTCTCCATCTCACACTTTTATTTCCGAAAGGATGATGTCTGTTCCGACTCCACGGATACGCATTATCTACAGCACAATTATAGTTACACCGGGAGATAATGACAAACAAAAGAAAATCAAACACTATGTGTTTCGCGGCCGATACTCTGCGCGCTGTTATTAATTGATTGATTCTGATTTTTTTCTGGAAATAGCACCCAATTCCGAAAAACTATTTACGACAGATAGTTTATGTTTGTATGACAAATAATTTCTTCCAGGGATGTGTGGGAGTGACAGGGTCGCGGAAGACTTTTTTATATATAATCGCAGGGTGGGGGAAGTTAAGCATAGACATATTGAGTTTTTGAGCGCTTAGGCTTATTGGGGCTAAAACTTATTTCATTTTCAAATGACAGATGAAGGTTGTAAACCCTAAATTTTTGGGAATTCTATCAAAATTAGACAATTAAACAGCTTTGAGTAATAATTTTGACTTGAAGAAGCTTGTTTTTCAAGCAATCAATAATGTAGGTTTCTGCCTCATGTGGTGTTCTCATTTATATATGTGCGTTATGCAAAGGGGAAAATATGAACTGATCCTCTGAAATTATGTTTTCCTTATCAGATAATGATGGTCCTATTGTTTTGGTAACTAAGTACTAGATAATTGTGTTTTGTATTGTTTAGTTGTGCTGATAGAGTCCATTCCTTTATTCATCTGTAGACCAAAGAGTTTCCTTGTTCAACATCTGAGATTGAGTTTTGATGTATAAGGTTTACGTTCGTTTCTTCTAGATCTCCTCATTTATATACCAAAACAAATGAAATATTGCAAAGTGCAAAAGGCAATTGAAATGGTGCAAAATGCTCCTAAGTTGGAAGTTTATCATTTTCTGCCTCAAAATGAGTTGACTTGCCATTTTTTGTTGAGTGTTTAACATTGCTTTCCGAATGCAGGGTCTATATGTTCGCTCAAGACTTACAATTAACCCTGATAAGGTTTATAGGATGGCCATGACACGGCTAAATACGGATGCTGGGATTCTGGAAATCATGGGTGCTCCTCTTGCTGGAACTGACTTAAGAGCTTATGTGATGCCAGGGGGAGGGATTGGAATGAAGAATTTCAAGCCAACTCGTAGTAATAAACGTTGTTTTCTCATCTTCCCAGTACAAGGTTCGGAGAGAAAAGGTTTAGTCAGTGTGCTTCTTTACTTTTTTCTTGTGTTGCCCCTAATATGGAGTGGAATCATTTAACTTTTAGGATCTTCTAGGTTTTGCATGTTCTGACTGAACTACTCACTTCTAAAGTTGTGTGAATGGCATTGAAGTTCTTTATGACATATGTCTGTCTTTAGAATAGTGAAGTAAACCAAGGAAATCAATTTTCTGTAAGAGTAATATGTCATGTCTAATTGTGTGAACAGCTGGATAAAAGACCTCCTAACCCCGCACCACCTACCCCCATAAGACAGTATTTTTCCCATTTGATGAAGACATGAGCTTGATATGGATGGATTTGAATTGACTGGAATGTAAGAGAAGATATATTTGATAATATATCTATGTAGATGTGAGATTTTCAAATCCATCCTGGTGAGATGTTCGAAAGCTCCAAAGAATTCAAATCCATCCATTTCTTATGCTGCTTCGCTTCACCCGGCAATCAATTTTGTACAATCCTTCGCTAGAAAAAGTGTGTTGCTCATGTTAACATTGCCCTGCATCTGTATGACAATGGTAGGTAAAGAAGATAGAATATGGAGTCCTTGACACCCCTGAAAGTATGGTTGGAAAAACATGGAATATTGATCTTCTGCTAGTATGTCCCGAGTTTAATGGTCTCAGACCATCCTCTGTTTCATAGTTCATGCATGCCCCTCAAAGTCATGGAATAACCCCTCTGCTTATTATTTAGATGTTCTGTCTTTTCTGTGGCAGTATGTGTTAGAATACCTACCGAGCTGAAAACGAAAACACAAACAGATTTACGTGGTTTCCGATATTGCAGGGAGCAATACCGACTAGTCCACGGGGAATAGGGATCTCTTATTCAGCTTAATGTTTCCACTCGGTTACACAGCCATATTTATACTATCCTAACCCTAACAAACCCTAATGGCAACGTATAGTGTAGTTTGCATGGGCTTTGGCCAATTACATGATGGATAGATAAATACAGCCGAGACAACATGGGCCAGAACAAAGGCCAAACCAGAGACCCAAAACCCATTCGTCTAACATCCTCCCCCAAATTGATGCCGGTCACGAAGCATCAATTTGCCAGAAAGATACCAGTGACGACTAATGGGAAGAGCCTTGGTGAGAAGATCGGCAATCTGATCCTCCGAAGCGACATAGTGTAACCGAAGAGACCCATCGCGAACCTGGTCACGAACATAGTGAATGTGAAGCTCAATATGCTTAGTGCGGTCATGAAGCACCGGATTAAGAGCAATCTGGATAGCACTAGTGTTATCCACGAACAGATCAACCGCCGGGGGACAGCGAACTCCGAAATCAGCTAACAACCGAGTGAGCCAAACAACCTCGGAAGCAACATCGGACATGGACCGGTACTCGGCCTCAGTGGAAGACTTGGCCACACGATCTTGCTTCTTGCACCGCCAGGAGATGAACGAGTGGCCAAACCGAACACACCACCCAGTCGTGGATCGGCGGGTGTCATTACAACCGGCGAAGTCAGAGTCGGAAAAGGCCTAGAGTGAGAGTGATCCCTGAGACGGAAAAAACAAACCAACCTCCCTGGTCCCCTGCAGATAGCGAAGGATGCGATGAACAGCAGAGAGATGGTCAACAGTAGGTGCAGTCATGAACTGGCTCACGATCTGCACAGCATAGGAGATATCGGGACGGGTGGCTGCAAGGTAGATCAAGCTACCCACAATGCTCCGGTACTTAGAACTATCAACCAAAGGGGCACCAGAATCACGGCGAAGCTTCAAGTTAAGCTCCATCGGCGAACGAACAGGAGTACAATCCTCGAACTGATGATCATCCAACAAATCAGTGATGTACTTCGTCTGGGTCAAGAGTATCCCACGGGAACTGTGAGTGACCTCAAGACCAAGGAAATAGGTGAGAGTTCCCAAGTCCTTGAGGTCAAACACGGCCTGTAGGCCTTCCTTGAGCAACTGGATACCTGCAGTATCATCACAGGTAACTACCATATCATCAACATACAGGAGGAGAGCAACGATACCAGTAGACGTCACCCGGGTAAAGAGAGACGGATCGTTAAGACTCTGACTGAAACCCAGTGAAAGAATCCTGGACTGAAATTTGTCGAACCAGGCACGAGGTGCCTGTTTCAACCCATAGAGCGACCGATGTAGTAAACAGACCTGGCCAGGGGCACCAAGCGTGTATCCGGGAGGAGGCTCCATGTAAACAACCTCCTGAAGATCACCGTGCAAGAATGCGTTCTTAACGTCAAGTTGCAACAGGGGCCAATCCCGGAGAGCAGCAACAGCTAGGAGAGTGCGGAAAGTGGTCATTTTTGCCACCGGGGCAAAAGTCTCGTCATAATCAATGCCCTGTACCTGCGTATAACCTTGGGCAACAACTCGAGCCTTAAACCGCTCAATGGTCCCATCCTGATGGACCTTAATGTTGTACACCCAGCGGCTGCCAACAATAGGAACAGGAGGGGGAGGGCGATCAACCATAGTCCACGTACCACGAGCATGAAGGGCATCCATCTCCACCTTCATGGCATCGTCCCAATTCGGGTCACCTGCAGCCTGTTTAAAACGAGTAGGAACAACCACAGCAGAAACACCATAAGCATGATAATCAGTAAAACGAGCTGGGAGTTGACCCTTGGTAGCCCGAAGGGAACGACGCAGCAATGGGCCAGGTGGTGGTGAATCAGCCGCAGAAGAAGGAGGGCTGGTAGGCGAGGCAGGAGGCTCGCTTCCAGGGGAGGTCGAACTAGACGAGGCGCCGGAGGAGCCTGCCGAGCTTGCTGGGGACGCAGCGGGGGAGGGAGACAGATCGAAGTCATCGCGCGGTGGAAGGGGCAGCAAGTCAGCATCACCATCGTCTTCGTCAAACGAGGGTAATGTGGGCACAGGGGAGAGGAAAGCAAGTGAGGCAGCTGGGGACGAGGAGTGGAACGGAAGAGACTCAAAGAAAACAACAGTACAGGCGATCCTAATACGGGACATGACGGGATCATAACATAGGTACCCTTTGTGGACATCGCTATACCCTAAGAACATACAACGGGCGGCCTTGGAAGAGAACTTATTCCGTTCTTTCTTAGGAGTGAGAACAAAGCAAGTACACCCAAAAACACGGAGACGAGTATAGTCCGGATGTTTAGAAAACATAGTGAAATACGGACTACGGTGATCAAGGACAGGCGTGATCTGATAGTTAATGAGCCGAACAGCAGTGGCCTCGGCCTCAGGCCAAAAAATCGATGGGACATGGGAGTCGAGAAGCAGAGCTCGAGTCAGCTCAACCACGTGGCGATTTTTCCGTTCAATAAGCCCGTTTTGCTGCGAGACACCAGGACAAGACTTCTGACATAAGATACCAAGGGAGCGGTAGAGATCACGTAACGGATGGGAACTAAATTCTCCGCCAGGGTCGGACCTAACAATTTTGACAGGACGATTAAACTGGGTGCGAACCATGTTCAAGAACTCGGAGGCAACATCCAACAAATCAGACTTAAGACGAAGAAAATAGACCCACGTGAACCGAGTAGCATGATCCACGAAAAGAGCAAAGTAGCGAAAACCATGACGAGAAACAGTGGGAGAAGGCCCCCAAAGATCGGTATGCACGATATGAAACGGTTCTGAAATCACAGTTTGACTAGGGGAGAAAGAAATGCTTTTGAGCTTAGCATCAATACAACTAGTGCACTTATGAACAGAGGAAACACCACCTTTATTAGGACCGAGCAAGTTTTGTTTAAACATAGACATAAGCCGAACAGAATTTGGATGACCTAAACGTGCATGCCACAGTTCCCATGTTGTTTTTGATCGGGAAACAGAATCAACAACACTAGACACCAACGAGAAAGGACTACTGACAGGCCTAGAGAACGGACTACTGACGGGACGAATACTAGCTGGTGGCGTGGCCCCCGATCGACTCGAGAGCTCCTCTAAATGAAACACTCGCCCTTGCTTACTCCCTCGTCCGATCTGCCTCCCGGTCTTCAGATCCTGGATAACACAACCAGAAGGTTCAAATAACACAGAGCAACCTTGCTCGGTTAGCTGCCCTACGGAAACCAAATTCGGAACAAGAGCGGGGACATGCAATGTGTTAGGCAAAGCTATTTTCGTTGTGTTAACCTGGCCAATTCCTTGCCCATTTAACTTTTGGCCATTAGCCACACATAAAGTCATGTTATGAACAGGAGTGCGATCACATAATTGATGAGCATCTTTGGTCATGTGATTAAAACATCCCGAGTCCAGAAGCCAAGGTTGAGGCTTACCTGTAGCTTGCAGGGCAGCAAAGGCGCTACTGATCGCCCCCGGGAGAGAGCGTTGGAGTGCGCTGTTCACGACCTGCTCGACCGTGGCGACATCAACAGCAGGCCCAGGCGTGGCGGTGACCTGAGCTTGGGCGGCATATGCTGGGCGATCAGCAGGGGCAAAGGCTGGGCGATCAGTGGAGGCACCAGCAGAAGCAGTGCAAGCAGCAGCTCGCTGAGCCGACCGGCAGTCAAGAACGATGTGGTCATTGCGTTTACAATACACGCAAAAATTCTTGCGACGACAGTGCTTTTGGAGGTGGCCTCTCTCGTGGCAGTGATGGCACTCGAGCTCAGTCGTCGGGATGCGGCGTTGAAACTGAGGCCTCTGGACAGCAGCAGCAATGGACTGGGATCAGCAGCTGTGGCAAAAACAGTTTCGCCCTCACCGGGACGAACATCAAGTTGCGCCTGGGTACGCAGGCGCGTTTCTTCGCGGACGAGGAGGCCAAGAACGCCATCAAACTTGAGGTCCTCCCGGTTGAGCAGCGTGGAGCGGATGGCCTCGAACTCGGGCCGCAATTTCATGAGGAATTGGCATAGACGTGAACGTTGCCGATCTTCGAGAACTTCGGCAGATGCCTCCTTGGAGCGAAGGGTAGCAGTCAGCAAATCTTGTTCAATCCAGAGCTCCTAAGCTTCACTGAAGTAGGCGGTGACATCCTTGTTACCTTGTTCCAGCCGGCCGAGAGCCCATTCAAGCTTGAACTGGCGTGCGGGATTGACAGACGAGTACGTGGAGGCCAGATGCGACCACATCCCGAGGGCCGTTGTATGCAGACGAAGTCCTAGCGCGATCTTTGGGTCAACCGACCCCAGAATCCAGGATTGGATCCTCGCATCTTGCTGGCACCAGCGGGCAATTTCTAGTTCAGTAGCCGGGGCTAGCGGCTTCGGGGTGGTTCCATTGAGAACGCCAAGCAGACCATGTCCCTCAACGAAGACACGGAATTGGAATTCCCACAAAGCATAGTTCTTGTGATTGAGACGTAGTGAAATCTTCTCCGTATCCATTCCCGAAAGCTCTGATACCATGTTAGAATACCTACCGAGCTGAAAACGAAAACACAAACAGATTTACGTGGTTTTCGATATTGCAGGGAGCAATACCGACTAGTCCACGGGGAATAGGGATCTCTTATTCAGCTTAATGTTTCCACTCGGTTACACAGCCATATTTATACTATCCTAACCCTAGCAAACCCTAATGGCAATGTATAGTCTAGTTCGCATGGGCTTTGGCCAATTACATGATGGATAGATAAATACAGCCGAGACAACATGGGCCAGAACAAAGGCCAAACCAGAGACCCAAAACCCATTCGTCTAACAGTATGATATGAGGTTACTGGCAGTTGACATTCCAATGACGTCGGGACCAGACCAGCGACTGTTTTTGATTGGAGACGAAGAAGAATACAAAATTGGTGGTGGGATCATCGGCGAGCTACGAGATCCTGTGATTAGAGCTATGTCTGCTACTAAGGAATTCGATGATCTTGACCAAATCGAAGAACAGGAGGATGCCGAGAGAGAGCTTCAGGAGGCCGAGAGGAAGCGGCAGGAAGAAATTGAGAAGCTCGAGAAAGATGTCTCATCATAGTACTGCTGGGTTCTTTTTGCTGATCTATTGTTCATGCACCGCCAGTTTTTTCACTACTACCCACTTAGCCTGATGGTTCTAACAGCAACCCAGTGGAAGGCTTCTTCGATGTTGAGATGTCCCAACTGTGAATAAATGCGTTGATACAATCCAACAGAAGCAGTTTTTAGCTATGTTACAGAAAGAAGAAAAAGGGAACCCTTCTTGAATTCTCCTTCTTTCCATTCTTCCACGGCAACAAGATTTCCCGTTTTTAATTACTGCCTGCTACATTTGACTTGGTATGTAGGCTTGCATGATCTGGTGAAGCTACAGTGGGTTTGACAAACTGGGTTGTTTGTCAATCTTCATGGGAAGTTAACAAAGTCAGCTTCCCTTCAAGTTGATTGACCGCGAACTAAATTCGTAAATGGGCGGGCATTCTTTACTTAAAGATACGCCAGTCGCCCACCCCTAACTAGGGACGACAAGCGGTTCGGTTATGGTTAAACCGAACTGTCGAGACGGAAACGCTGTCGGTTAGCCGCTATAGCCACCATTTCGATGTCGTGCAGTTAGTCGGTTAGCTGGTGACCGAGAGTAACCCCTGAAAATGGTGTTACTGTTGCAACAGCAAGTTTCGGCAAGGACTCTTGAAGAATGACGAGGGCATTTAAGGACTGGGAGGACAATGATGGCAGTGCGACGAGCCGATTATGACAACGAGACGATGATAGCTAGGCAATGACGAGGTCAAGAAGATGAAATTGATGATAACTGCAGGTTTTCCCGATTGCTGGTTAGCCGATTAACCGGGGTTCACGATTCGGTTTTGCGGTTATCCAACTAACCAGCAAACGGTTTAACAGCCTTACCCCTAACTGTCTGCATTCATTGAATGTCATAGCAAAATATATGTCATGAGATCTGTCATGAAATCATCACTAAGAACAAGTATCTGTCGTAAATAGTTCTGCGCGAAGTTTGTATTATATATTTTGTTTTTTTTGAATAAATGTCATAAGTGGTCTTGGCACAACTGATTTAGCTGTTTGTTGTGTGCAAGAAGTTCTAGGTGTGAACCCCATCATCCCATATTAAATCTTTTTATTTAGTAGAGATTAAAACAAACCACATGTTGTGGGGATGGTGGTTCAACCCAGATATAATAAATAGTTAACTAAATTTAGGAAAACATCTACACCACCAAACTACAATTCTTCTTTTGAAACAATAATATATTGACAAAGTTTTATTCGTTGAACGCTAAAAATCGTCAATCATTTTGAACAGGGGACGGATTTGATACCATCCGCCCTGATCATGCCCCGTTGCCATTGTTAAGTGTCAAACTTACCCCGCCAACCATCCGAGCTCTGTGCTGGTATATTAAAAACATGGTTTTAAGACCATCTCCAACAACATGGCCAAAAAGCCAAAAATTCTAAATGCTCTCCTCCAACAATAATTCCAAACGGCTAGAAAGCCAAAAAAGCCAAATTTCCTGGCCAAATACCAACACAAGAAGAAGAAAAAAAGCCAAATTCTGGCCAGAATAATGGGCCCCTCTTTCTCCACGAATCAGACCCGCACAAGCAGAAAAGTGGCCAGAATAATGGGCCCCCTTCATTTTCCTACCATAAAAAATAGGAGAGTTTCAAGACAAATCACATAATCAAAATAATAATTGTGAAATATGCACTCAAATAGAAGGTGTGCAACAAACTCCTTAAAATATAGTTTAAGAAAATAAAACTCAGATACGTGTTAATACGCATGTGGTAAAATCATTGCACAAATTATTGTGCTTTAATTATTAATGACATCATATTTAATGTTAAATTATTTTATGTCAAAATAATAAAAAAAAATTATATCAAAACGTTCATCTTAATTAATTATTACTATATGTATATAAAGAATTTACAAACTATCTTATTAAAATGATGAAATATACACTAAACTACATTATCACAAAAAGAGAATATTTGACATTTTGGCATTTTAGCATTCTTTGTTGGAGCAAAAAACAACTTTAAAGATGCCAAAATGCCAAATCCATTTAGCTTTCTAGCATTTTTTCCAATTCTTTGTTGGAGATGGTTTAAGAAATCCAACAGCGGAACCAGTTGGTTTATAAGCCCATGCATGGAGGCCCAGGTAAAGGAAAAAAGGTCCCTTCATCCCCGCTGCCGCTGATGTATTTCTACCCTTAACCCTAAATCCGCTCCCGCTCCCGCTCCGATCCAACCCCCTCTTTCCTCCCGCCGGCATTAAGTGGACGTCGACATGGAAGAGTGCTTCAGGGACATGGGTCCCCAGTTCGAAGTTCCTGCTTCGTTCAAGGATCTTATGTTGCCTATTGTCGAGATGGAACCGCGGGAGATTTCAGCTCGTTTCTTCACGAATTCGGAACTCCCGTACAGAGCTTCTCCTACGTTCAACCATACTATCTCGACTACCTTCACCCATGATGACCTCTCCACTGTCGTCAACGATCACTTCAGATCTCGTAAACTTCACTTTATGTTCATCTCTTCTCGTCCTAGAATTGACTCCTCTGTTACTTTTGCTAAAAGCAGTCCGTCGCTGTGTATTGTTTGTGACAGGGAAATCTTATTCTCGGCCCTTTGTTTTTCTGATCCACGGAAAGCTTTTTCCTATCTCCCTCAGCATCGACCAATTCCTTCTTGATAATGAGATTTACGTTGTAAGCTTGAAAATCTCTCTCTGGTTATCAATTGCTGTTTTTTTTTTTTTTTTTGGTTGCTCAGTGGAAATTGGCTGTATATAACAGGAGGAGAATTTGGAGATTGAATATGCTCTTCCTATCAACACGATGTCTAGGCGGCCTTCAGAGCATGGCGGCTCCGTCAGTGCAGTAGATGGTTCTTGTCCTCGGTAAAAATCCACCGCTCTTTTGATTTTCAACAGCCTTTTCTTCTTGCTTGGTTGCAGTCAGGCAATCCCTCTGCTACTCAAAAGTTGATTTGGCTGGCTGTTAACGGATTTGCTTCTTGCTTGGTTGCAGGTTCATCGTTACCGGATGCGAAGATGGCAAGGGAAGGTACAGACTCGTGCAAACCTTTTCTTTTCCCCTCTAATCAGACAAATCTTTGCTTTAGCTGCTAGCTTAAGAGAACTGACTCGTGCGAACTTTTTCTTTCTATCCTTCAGGCTGTGGAACGGTACTGGTGAATGTACTCATATACTTGAAGGGCACACTGGTTCAATTAGTTCTGTCAGTATCCTTAACCCATTAGGTATAGCTCAAGCACCTGCTTTATTTTGCTTCCGAAAACTGATAGATGAGATCCCCATTTGTTTGGTCTAGGGGGATTATCTTACTTCAATTGTTTCCATTCTAGTTGCAAGGTTGTGGACTAGTCTTGTGGGGTGTTATTCATTTAAGCATACAGCAATTAGTACAAAGCCATTCACTAAATAACACTAGTTATTAGAGTGTTCCAATCTGTATTCCCAAAGGAAAATGAGTAGTACAGATATGAGCTTTCTTCCATTTGCTTCTAGTAATGTGATTTGTGTAATTTGCTTATGCAGATAATGATGCAACTCTGGTTACTGCCTCAGAAGATAATACTCTCAGACTGTGGAAGGTAACTGTATAAACATCTTCTCCTATTTAAAATTTTTTTTTTGCTTTCAATGATCCAAGTCCTGTTTGATGAATTATTGGTTCGTTTTTCCCTCCCAAAAGTTGGATACAAAAGAACTTGAGAAATTTCCTCGTAAGATTAAGCCATTCAAGATTTTGAGTGATCATTCTACTAAAGGTGTATGGCGTGTGGCTGCAAATCCATCCGGGAGCAGGGTTCGTTTTTCTCTCTTTACCCTTAATATAATGTTAACCTACTGATGTGACTATGCCAATTAACCAATTCCATTTGATTTTATAAACAGTTCTGCTCTGGTTCTTTCTATACAACAGTCAAGGTGTGGGAGACTTATGAAGCTGCCTCGGAAGATTACTCAGGGTCGATTAAGAAGAGGAAAACTGAATGTGAAGCTAAAGAATCTCAGTTGGAGGTGTAGAGTGTGTTTGTTTTAGCTTTTGCTAAATGCGAAGTGGACTCTTCATATCTGACAATATATATACTGCATGCAGGATAATTTGGTCTGTTCACTAGAGGGTCATGTGTCAGTTGTATCATCAGTGGCTTGGCCAGTAGACAATACAATTTATTCTGCATCTTGGGATGGTACTATCAGAGAATGGGATCTTGAGAAACGCAGCCCTGTGTCAACCAAAGTATGTGGGAACGTATCATCTTGTATCTCCTCCTCCTTTTCTCCGTTTGAAGTCTGATCACACTAAGAATGTTCTTCCTTGCAGTTCTATGTAAAATCTTTCACCTGCCTTAGTGTAGGCGGATTGGGACCAAACATCCTGGCTGCAGGAGCATTTGATGGCAAGCTTAGGATATATGATCTAAAAGTGTCAGGTATGATTCTGGTGACTTTTCTTTGTTAAAATAAGCGACTTTTAGGTTTTAGTTTTGACATGCTCACTTTGTTATCGGTGCAGGCCCTGTGCTCGATTATTTTTCGCATAATGATAGGGTATCAGCATGCCAATGGCACTGTAAAGATGCAGTCTACTTATTGTCTGCATCCCTTGATGGCAGAGTCATGGTGTGGGATATCAGATATCCGGTATCATAATAATCTCTTGTCAAGCAAATTCAGTTTGACATTCTTTCATTGCTTACGAGTGGGACAATTAAGCTAATTGGATCGAGTATATAATATACTTTTGACGTGCAGGGGCAGACTGTTGACGTGCAGGGGCATACTGTTATTGAGTCGAGTGAACACAGTGTGCTATGTGCTGATTGGTGGAAAGGGGACCGTGTAATTACGGGTGGTGAAGACAGGAAGCTTCAGATTTCCCCTGCCTTGAAATTGTGAAAATCTGTGATACATCTCTCGGACAGTACTGTTGTTTGTGGTTGAAAATGTATTAACTCAACCACAAGCTTATGCAACGGTTGGCTTATGGAAACAAACATTATATAGCAAGTCGTCTTATTATGATTAATTCATACACGCACGCACCATTTTATTATGATCTCGAGTTATAAGAAGTTTGTATTAACTTGGGTAATTACTTAAACCGTTACTCAATTATGTAAATTGTAACAAACTCGTCACTCAGATTTCATATGTAACAAACTAGTCACTGGAATTTATTGGTGGTAACGAGACGGTCACTATAGCTAACTCCGTCCATTATTCCGTTAAAAAGGTCCACTCGGCATGCCAACAAGACTAGCCACGTCACTCTACCTGCTTCGTTGGAGTTTGGAACTTGACCACTAACCCATTCTTACCCGACCTAAACCAAACCACTAAGCTTTCCATTAAACAAAATTATAAATGATTAAACCTCTCATACACCAAACCAAATTTATATTCTCTGCCCCTTCCCCCACCCCATTCACGTGACCTAACTTTCCATCACCCTAAAAAGAACAAAAAAGAAAATTCTCCAGTACAATAGAACTAGTATATTATTTCATCTCTTTCCCATTCTCCCAACCTTCCAAATTCCAGTCCGCGCCGCCATCCCATCTCTTTTCCCTATTTCTTCCCTTTATATTTCCTCTCTATTCGATTGCTTATCGATCGTCTTTTGTTTTTTTTGTTTTTGTCTCCCAAAAAAAACCCTAAAATTAAAAACTCCGCCGGCAAGCTCTGCGCTCTATCAACCATCTCATCTCGGACAGGGCTAACGCAATGTCAACTGAAATTGCAAGTGAAGGACATGCCTCACGTCTTACTCAAGTTAACTACGAAGAACCTACTCAACCGCCAAGTTTTGTTTCTAAAGCACATGGGCTAGTTGAACGTAATGAATCAGCGGATGGAGATGAGGATGAGAATGCCAATGATATTGAGGAGGGAGTGGATCAAGATGTTCCTCTTTATTCAGCGTTCAAAGATAATGACGTGGATGTGTTCGATGAATCTGACTTGGAGGACCGACTGGACGAGAAGCCGCCATTGACAACTACCACTACACCTTCTATTCCCCCTACACATGCTCGACGTAAACGCCAGAGTTGTCAAACAGGGGGTGAAAGACGAGCATCCTCAAGAAACTTAAGTAGGCTTGATCCACAGGCTTCTGACTAGGTTGGAATTGATTCCGAGCTGGAGATTGATAGTGAGGATGAGTTTTTGTACCCTAGTTCGTGATGGCGAAGAAGATGATTCTGCTACTGTTTTTTCAGAGTTCAATGCTGAGAGGCACATGGAAAATCCTGAGATTAGTGTAGGAATGTTGTTTGCAAGTATGGAGACACTAAAAGATGCTTGTAAGAGTATTGCAGTCAGAGAAAGGCGAGCAATTACTTTTGCAAAGAATGACAAAAAACGGCTGCAATGTGTTTGCAAGGTGAATGTGAACTGCTCATTCTACATTTGAGCTAGTGCCTATGGAAAGGATGGCACAATCCATATTAAGAAACTGAATCTACAACATGATTGCACACCACAAGAAGACTCGAGATTCGCCAATCCAAAATTCTTGGCCAATAAGTACCTTGGACGCTCTCGGGTCGATCCTGCATGGTCGCTTGTCAATGTTATGCACACTGTTAGAACATATATGAAACTCAGCATCAACCGAATGAAAGCATGGAGAACTAAGCATGTTGCAGTAGAGTTGTTACATGGCGAGGACAAAAAACAGTTCAGCAGAATTTTCGATTATAAGGCCACTTTGGAGACTACAAATCCGGGTTCGACTATTGTGGTTGAGTTGCACTCTACAACTTTTGAGAGGATATACGTGTGTTTGGCGGCATTGAAGCAAGGTTTCAAGGAAGGCTGCAGAAAATTAGTTGGACTTGATGGATGCTTCTTGCGAGGTGTGCCAGGGTGGCAACTTTTAACTGCTACGGGAATCGACCCAAATGATTGCATATTCCCGGTTGCATGGGCTGTAGTACAAAAAGAATTTCAAGAGACCTGGGAGTGGTTCCTTGAATTGGTTGCAAAAGATTTGGAAGTAGACAACTCTAGCAATTGGACGTTCATGTCAGAAGGTTTGGAAGACATTGACTTGATTTGTTACACACTTTTTATGTTGTGGTTTGCTGTTATCTATACTTATTGTTATTTGATTCTTTTTATTCCATCTCTTTGTTGAATTGTGGTTGAAATATCCAGGGGTTGATTAATGCAGTTGAAACAAGCTTCCCTAATGTCGAACACAAATTTTGTGTAAGGCATATGTATGTTAACTTCAGTGGGAAATTTTCGAGATCCAAGCGTCTTAAGGAACTTCTCTGGGGGTGTGCGAGCTCAACCTATGAAGGGGAGTATAGGAGTTGGATGAAGTTAATTGAGAAGGATGGCGAGAACTATAAGGATGGGGATCAAACGCCAGCCCAATGGTTGCTTGAGAGGCCTCCCAAACAATGGTGTGAGGCATTTTACAGAACTGAAGTCAAGTGTGAGATTGGTGTAAACAACATAAGCGAATGCTTTAATAGCTATATTTATGATGCGAGAGGTCTTCCAATTATCTCTATGCTTGAAGACATTCGATACAAGCTGATGAAACGCCAATGGAAGAAGAGATTAGCAATGGAGAAGTTTGTGGGTGACATTTGTCCAAAACCGTTGAAGAAGCTTAATAAGTATCGAGAGTGGGCTATTTGGTGCACACCAACCTACAATGGAAATATTGAATATGAATTCCAAAATCCAAGGGGAAAGTTTGTGGTCGATTTGAGGAAAATGACTTGTGCATGTGGGAGGTGGCAGCTCACAGGCATACCTTGTGTGCATGGAATCAGTTGTATTAACCTGAACAAGGAGCAACCTGAGGCTTATGTCCACTCGTGTTACAAAAAGGAAACATACATGAAAGCTTACAAATACTCAATCACTCCTCAAAATGACCACACTCAATGGATTAGGACCGGGATGGATCATGTCAGAGCTCATATATTTGAGCCTTCCAAGAGAGGGAGAAAGACAACTAAAAGACGTTTAGAAGCATGGGAGGTGGAGAGCCAAAACAAGAGAGGAACCTCATGCAAAGCTGTAAGGAAGTTAGTCACCATCAAATGTACTGAATGCGGAGCAGAAGGACATAAAAAAAGGTTCCACAACAAGAAGCCAACTGGGAAAAAACTACACAAGTTGGTTTTTTATGTCTTTTTCAATTTTTATGTTAATGATGGTTTGATGGTTCCTTTTGTGATCATGTTTGAACTGTTTATGTTTCTTTTATGATGTATATAGAAGAAAGTAAACAAAACAGTTCAAACCAATCCAACTCCTCCCATGACACCAGCTTCCAATATGGTAAGTTTAGTGTCCGTTTTTTGGTTGATTTTATGGCAAAGAATTACACATTCTAACCCTACCTTGTGTGTAGGGTTCTCCAAGAGCAGCTCCACCTACTGGTCCATCTAGAGAAGGGATGATCTTTATGGCGACTCCATCTGTTAATGAACCCAACATTGCAAGTAGCAGGAGGAATGGAGCAATTGGGTAGTTAATTGACTACTTAGTAGAAGGGCAACCATCACATAGATGGTTAGTTTGTGTAAGATAAGAAAACATGGTTATTTTGTAGCATGACAGCCATCATAGAAAGGATTTTTTTTTGTATGTGAAAGCATTTCGCATCACTGTGTGGTCCATTGAAGTTAGCCATTCATATTCCTACAAACTTGAAATTTGGTGGTTGAAGACAAAACAACAGATCTTTATTGTGCTTTCATTCAACCCTTGATGTTATTAGGATATGCATAGGATTACTTGGTGTCGGTTCACTCTACCAAACTTTTGATGAGATTATGTCAATTCTCGGGGACCATTTCCTTACTCTTAACCAAAGTTTAGTGACCAATTCGTTACTCTAAACCACAGTTTAGTGACCATTTTGTTACGTTCCATCAAAGTTCAGTGACCTTGGGTTTATGAGTTCTGTCTTAAAATTTTCAGTTGGAACTTAGGTTAAACCGATTAGAAATGGTTGAATAATAATGGGTTAACCGTTGGATTCCAAATTCCAACGAATCATGTAGAGTGACGTGGCTGCCTTGTTCGCATGCTGATTGGACATCATTAACGGAAAAATGGACGAAGTTAGCGAGGATGACCTTCTCTTCACTTTTGCCCTTCTTTTCCCTTAAGAAGCTGTCTGTCGCGATCCCTGGTCTGAATATCCGGTCGGGTATTTTAGGTGGAGACCGGGGATTCTCAAAACGCACCGTCGGGGACAGGGGGTTAATCCCCAGTCAGGGTCGAGAATACCCGACCAGGGATTTATGCTTAATGTTCGGGCCCCCTTCTGCTTCTCAAACACCCAAAAGAGGTTTTCCCCGGTCTGCTCCGAATAATACCCGGCCGGGTATTTCTGCCCATGGCCGGGTATTTTGCTCCTCCAGCACACTTCAACCCAAACGTGCTCCTTTGGACCCGAAACTCGTTTCTTCGCCTCGATGCCAACGCTAAGCCCTGAAATATGACATAAACGCACAACCTAGCGTGAAATCGGCTTAAATCACGAGAATCAACATCTCAAACGGCTCAATAATAGGGGTAAAACATGTGCAATCAATGGTCTATCACCTACTTCATAGAGGGCTCATATCCCCTTCTAAGTTGAGCCGCCAAGTGATATCCTTACTTGACAGAGTACTCCCCTGAAGCCTCATGATGACAAACTAGTTTATTTGGGATAGCAACAAGAGGAAGTGGAATAGCAAAGATTTTTGGAACTACATCCCAGGAAATAGAAAATGTAGGCACTCCTCGTTCCAACACCCAGACCTAGCTGAAATTAGAGAGGCGAACATTCCTTGAACACCCCTATCTCCGGATGGAGACAAGGCGGATTTAGATGCAAGACAGGAACCCAATTGATGATAGGTGAAAGTGTCAATTCTAGACCATCGTATTATGGCCAAAAGTTAGTACATTTTCCATTATTATCGCTATAATACCTTGAATTTATGTTATGATTGCTTCAAATGTGTTCTAGCAACCCTAGGAATGCTTTTATACAATTGATACACTTTTGGTAGCATTTTGTACATTTTTGTTAGAAACACGCTTTATTCCTTTAGTATTATCATTAAGTAGTATTAGTAGTAAGTATAGGGGCTTGGAGGCCAAGGAAAGCGCCCGACTAGTTAGGCTGAGTTATTAGGGTTTGGGTTAATTTTCTATATATACGTACCCTGGTTCTTACTTCAGCATCAATCAAATAAGTATTTAAAAAGTATTTCTCAATCCTAATTCTACTCTTAATATTCGTCACCTATCCCTAGGCGTTTGTCTGTTCTTTTCCTAAATCCACAATTTCATCTTCTAATCCCCAATCCCCAATTCTATTCCTCTTCAAAATCCCTAATTTCTACCTTGATTCCCAATTCTCTCTATCAAATACACAATACACGAACCCTACACGTACAGTCGTACACGCATAGATCCGTGTGTCTTACAATTTCCAGGACAAAGAAGACTAGTGTACCACTTGGAATCCTGGGGGATCATCATGTGATGAAAGAAAACAAGAATACTAGCGGCTAGGATCAAATGGGGCCTGATTTGGAGTTTGGACGAAGGAGAAAAGGCTCAGACAAGCTAATGATCTCGAGAATGCAAAAGTGACGTTTTGGGTGCCATTTTGAAGAAGACTGACCTTTGATGACTAGAAAAAGTGAAATACTAAAACAAAGACGGCAATGACATCATTTTCCTTCAAAAAAGCCGTCCAAGTGCCATTTTGGAAGGAGCCTAAACTTCCTCAAGAAGTTGTCAAGATGCATCCAAAGACCTACAAATAGGTCCCTAGGATTCAGAACTCGATAGCAGTGATATGAGGCATTAGAGGACTGTTACTCTGCCGACAGAGTGACTGACCCAATTTCTCAAATGTGGTCGTCATTTTTAGAGTTGTTCCGAGATCTTTGTTTCAGATCGATGAATCCCCAGAAACCCATCCCTATGTTCGACTAGTCCCTTTAGTTGTATAGGTATGTGAACCCTAGAGGTTCTTTGACTTTGAAACTCTTGATTATGGCATATATGTGATTTGATTTCTTCTCATTCTGCTTTGTCTTTCATTTGGTTTATTGTTGATGTGATTGTATGCTTAACATGAGAAC